CCAGCAACCGACCGGATGAATTTTACAGCTAAACTGGCAAAAATCCGACGAAAATAACCGACCATTAAACTATCTATTCACATGTTTATGATGACGAAGGGGAATTGAATATTCATGTGCAGAAATCCGAATTAGGAATAATCAACTTACATTTACCAAAATTTAAATAAATCGAAAAATAAATTTAAAAAGTGAAATTGATTTTCAATTTTAATTGGCTTTATATACATTTAAATTTTTCAAATTTATTTAAATCTAGTTTAAACCAATATAACTTCAATTTAAAGCAAATAAAATTCAATTTAAATTCATTTCGTTGGATTTAAATCCAATTAAATGGGTGTACATTGAATTTAGATTGATTTAAACTAGATTTGAGTAAATTTAAAATAAACTTCAATTTACATAATTTACATTTAAAATAAATTTAAATTTTCATCTATAAATAATTTTTATTTATTTAAAATTTAACTTCGCAAAAATTTAAATTTAGAATAAGTTAACAGGCGATCGCCACCCCTAATCGGAACTGAAAACTAAACTTGGGAATGAAACTATCACCATCATATTTTATAGCAAGGTGCGTGGACTTTTCGAGCCCGATATCTAATATAGGTTAGCTACTCAGATCAAATCTGTTTTTTTCATCTTAATTTCAAGAAAAAAGAGCCAGTTTACAATAAATCTAGCACAACAGTGTAAATATTTATTTTTCATGATTCAGGCAGCTGTCTAAGTAGAATAACAAAAACAAATTATATGATCTAGGTTAAATTAAGCAGTACACGAGAAAGTAATCGATAAAGATATAAAGAGAACAATGAACTGTTTACAGTTAGGTGGAAGGCACAAAGTTCATCGAGTCTTTCGTAAACACATTCTTCTGACATGAAAATATCATAAAAACACCTTTTTCAGTAGAGGAATTTCTTGGACATAAACAACAATTTTTTAATGATGAACTGGCAAAAATCCGGTCCTGTCCGGCCGGACCAAAACTGGATAGCCGAACCGGTTCCAACTCTGCTATAGTGTTCTCAACTACTTTCAACAAAGAAATTACTGCTACAGACTAAGCCTTATATAAAAGTAGTCACTATTCAACAGATTAACAAATAGAAGGCAACTCTATTATTCACTTTTTACTAACCATGCAATTATTTACAACTTCTTAATATTTTCTATTCTTATGTACCCTGTTTACTGAATGATTTGTATATCTTCCAACATGTTTATCAAGATTAATTAAATTAATAAATTTGTTGCTACAAGACTTTCCAGTTGAGACGAGTATATTCTTCTTTATCTAGAAACCAACAACAAACAATTGCACTTTAATATACAACACAAAATAATCACTTTTAATCATTATTTACTCTTCAGAGCATTATTCATATGCTAAACAAGTACTTTGCCTTATTTTCTATAACCCATGACAATGATTTCAGCGTCCGAATTCATGAATTTCGGAAATCTCCCACCGTAAAGACGCCGTTTCTGGTCAGAAACACGGAAAATCGTAGGAACTTAGAAGCAGGAATTCAGTGATCGGAACTAGTAGTCAATTTTTTCCAAAACCACTTCTAACGAGCCCTAACTGGTCAGAGTCAGCTAACCATTTTCTGCTTTCAAGTTCCTATCATTTTCCCATGTTTTCTGACCTAAAATGATTCAGGTATGGGTGTAGGTTAAAGAAAAGCACACCCCCACCCTTAATGTTAATTTTCAATTGATTTAAATCAGTTGCTTTCTTTTTGGGTTGTCTTCATGCACCGTCTTATGATTTGTCACTAGCATGCAAAAGAGATCCTAAGTGAACAAGAAAAAATGCTTCAATTTGGAGGAAATATATTTGGAATTGACAAAAGTAGCATCCACAAACTTGTGCTGCAGATTGGCATCTTTGGTATCAACATTTATTTCATGAAGCTGATTGAATTTCTTCGATCTTACAGAACCTTCCAATGTCTGGAGTGTATGTGTGTTCTCTATGATCTCTTTACAAACAACGTTTTGATTAACTTTCATCCAGTAAAATTGAGAAAAAAAATCAACAATATACTTATTGACTTGCACTTTATCTATCGTCATTAGAATTGGTTGCAGCCTTTCANGCTTATCTTTTGTATTTGTTGGTTGAACGGTGAGAATTTTAATGTGATCCGTATATATCTAATCTTTTTCATTTCCTCTAGATGAATATAGCGCTTTGTAAGATTTGTTCTAAATCCTATGTAAGTGATCGAAAATCTCCGAAAGGATACTAACAAATAATATCGTAAATCTGCCACCCTTTAGGTTATAATTTCAATAGGTTAGAAAGATAGAGCATTAAATTCTGCACATTTCTGCGTACTATTTTTTGTTGAATGCAAAAAGAATTTTGATGACTAAATATTCTTGGAGTGTCTATCATTTCTGACTGGTTTGAATAGAAACTTTGAAAACTATAGTTTTTTCTTTTGTATACCTAATGTGGAAATTAGGATGTGAATGTGAAGTGTCAACCTTTCCATTACTCACACTCTCGTTTTCATATTATGTATACAAAAGAAAAAATTATAGTTTTCAAAGTTTCTATTCAAAACATTAGAAAATGATAGGTACTCCAAGAATATTTAATCATCAAAATTCTTTTCGCACTCAACAAAAACTAGTACACAGAAATGTGTAGATTTTCATGCTCTATTTTTCTAACTGATTGAAATTGCAAGGGCGTCAGTCACTCTCAAATCTGCTATAGAAAGCATAAGTCATTGATCCTGGAAATGTTACCATTTCTCAATATTGAGAATATTCGCTTGTCTTGTCTTATGAGACTATTCCATTCAAAGATCTGCTCATGTCAATTTTTCAGTGGTTTGATCATCCCTAATTATTTCGGTTATTTTTTGTCGCCCTTCCCATGAAAAATGTAAGTCAATCGAACTCTGGAAAATTTTTGAGCAAGTATAACATCTAAAAAATGACTTCTGAATCATAAGTCTTAGCAATTGTTTTTCAAAATCTCTGAACATTATTTTTTTGTGGAAAGAAACAAATTCTTTAATTCAGGTTTGTTAGATAGAAAAGTTTACTACAATGAATTTATTAGAAGTTCAATGTATTAAAATCTATTTCAGTTTTCTTTAGATGAAAGTAGAATGGTTGCAGATTCTTGTTCTGTTCTTATCGAAAACATTATATCTATGAAAGTTATGCAGTATACACGAGTGCTCTTCATACAAAATACAAAATTTTATTAGTATTTGCTTTTTCTTTTGAGAAGATGGCAAAAAACCATTTGTTCAAAATACGCGTTTTTCTCATTGAGCACATTCATTTTTTTTTCACTTGTTTGTGTTCTAGTTCAGCTTTATTGCTATGGCATTCATATACGAGTCGTAGATTTGAACCTTTTCAGACACTATTCTGATAAGCTTGTTAATAAGGATTTTTCAATCACGCAAAATGCAAAACTTGTTTTTCATTAGTTCATTCGTAAACATGTGATTGTAAATACAAGAATTAAAGCACAGTTTTTATATATTTCATTATCGATAACATTTTATATGTTTTTATTGTCATTTAAAAAAAACCATCTGGTCTTTTTTTGAAGTAGAGGATAGTTATTTGTTGCTAACGGCGGTCTCTTTTCTTTCGTCTATCTTTTTTAATCGTCTTGCTAGTTTCGTGGTCAACAATAAAACTGACAATAAGGCTCAATTTGTTTATCCTAATAGCATTGTTTGATATTTTTACCTTTACCTATTACCTTATGTTTAATCAAAACTCGATTGATGGAATACATGAATCATCTTTGAATATTTGCATTTAGTTTTTCTCATGTAATAAAAATAAAATTGATTTTGACATATTTAGATCTGTTTTATTCGACGAAACTATTCACATTTCGAATGGAACATGTAGAACAGCACATTCAATCCTCTACGATGCTTTGCAAGCGACAATTCGATCAGTAATGAATCAACTGCAAAATGTTGTCGAGAAACTCATATGATGTTTTCTGGCATATTCTGATCTTTTGACACTAGAGTGTAGGAAAAAAGTTTAAGAATGATGTATTTTTGAATTTTTTTCTTAATCGTTATACGTACGATAAATCGGAAAAATATTTAAGTAATTAAAACAAAATGTCTATCGGAAGAGCTACTTTTTAAATTTCTATTAAGAATTTTAGGAACAGATTCACTGAAAAACTAAGATCCCTCAAACCAGATTTCTGGGTTCAATCAAAAACATTATGCGAATAAGTTCATATAATAGAGCAAACATTTCTAAACAAATGAAGACACCCCAAAGTTCTCCACAATCTATCTTCATCGATCTATCCTCATTTTACGAAGGGTCCCAGAGCGCTGCACACAGTAAATCTTTTGAGTTTTTTTTATAAAAAAATAACAGAAATCTAGCTTTGACGATTTTCGTAGAATAAATGTAGTTCAATGAGGATAGATTTTCGAGAATTCTGATGCTACTTATTTTGTTCAGAAACATTTGCTGTATTAGATCATCTTATTTAGAAAAGGTTTTTGATTTTTGAATTCTTAATTTTCCAGGCATTTTTTCCCCAAAATTGTTAATCGAAATTTAAAAAGAAGCTTTTCTGATAGAAATTTGTTTCAGCCACTCAAATCTTTTTTCCGATTTATCATAGTTATAACCGTTTAGAAAAAAAAGTTCAACAAATACATAATTCTTATAAGTTTTTTCTTTACGTTATTAGATAAATAAATTCAAGTCTTACATACAATTTTCAAAATTTGGAACTTCACAGTGGTAAGATAAGAATATTCAATTTATATACTTCTTCGTTTCAAAACAACCATTATTTGAAGCAATACAATCATTTTGACATATATTCTTGTTTGTATCGTCTCGTGCTTGAACTATACACTTTTAGAAAACCATTTTGTTTTACAATTTTGTACATCAAATATTCTCCTCTTTTCGAAAATCAACATCACGAATTAACTAAAATATATTTTTCCTATTTTATAATGGCAATGTTTCGATCACGTTGTCATCGTCCTCAACATGAATTCGACTCAATTGAATATCATATATCCCATTCACAATTATCATTTTTATTAGTTCCATCATCTTCAAAATCAGCAAAAACAACATTAACTAACGACTCACTACATTCACATCCAAATCTAATTACATTTCCATCAAATACAACACTAAAATCAATTTTATCACAAGATGATTTTATTAATTTAGCTTCTAAATATTCATCAATATCAATAGCAGCTACAGATGATAATCAACGACAGAACAATGCTCATTTTGAACTAGAAGGCAATACATTAGATGAGAATATAGTATTTTCATCAATTTGTTTAATGAAAGACTTGATATTAGTTGTTAATGATAATCTTCAATTAAAATTTCATAGAAGTCAAAGTCTAGTGCCAAATTCTGAAACTATGAATCAACATCGTGAAGATCTATTTCATCGTTTACCAATTGATAATGGTCATCGACCAGAATCCAGTGAACATCTTACCTATCCAAACGAAAGTTTAGATTTATTATTCGACACATTACATGGTGAATTGGTCTATTTAACTGAATATTTAAAAAGTCACATCGGTAAACGACATCAATTTACAACATATCCAATACAACAACAACAACAAAAACGGTTATCTGAACGAAAACAGTGGAATGAATGGGAAACAGGAATCTATCAAATGCGCGGTGATGTTGATGATACGGTGAATATTGCATTAACTGCTGATTGGTATGTATGCATATATATTTATCATCATTCGGTCATCGATTTCTTTTTGTTTATAGGGGTGCTGGTACAATGGAAGCAGCACTTGTTGCCAGTGCGATGATGAATGGTTTAGATTTAACTAATCAACAACAAAAAGCAACATCCGATTTACCACATTATTCTATACACTTGGGTGATATCTATTATGTTGGCTTACCAAGTGAAATTCAACATTGTTGTCTTGGCATAAAACCACATTGGGCAGAACAAGGTGTTCGATGGCCAATCGGACAAAATGGTAGTTTGACTATTCCTGGAAATCATGAGTTGTATAGTCGTGGTTTTGGTTATTGGGATTATTTTTTACCTCATGTAGGTTTATTCAATCCAGATGATTTAACATGTCCTGTACAACCACAGACAACATCATATTGGGTCCTAGAAAATGATCAATGGAGAATAATTGGACTTGATACTGGTTATGATTCATTTTCTTTATTGGAAATTGATAATGCTTCAATTAAATTACCGCAAGAATTAATGGAATGGTTAAAAACTGTTGTTGGTCTCGATCCACAAATGACAGATAAACGCGGTCTACTGTTTTTCTCACATCATCAAGTAATTAGTGCATGGAATGAAAAACCAAATACAGGTAAATATCGAATACTCACTGATCTATTGTTTATTTTCAATAAGAGATTCGACAAAGTTACATTTTTAATAAAAATCTTGGTTTTTACTCCGAAAAAAAACATGACTTACCATGTGAAACGAAAGTTTTGAGTGTTGAATATTTCTTGATTTTCTTCAACAAAAGTGTTTAAATAATGAAAAAATGGCTATGATAGATGTTTCTTTATATATTTATGTTAGTTTCTGATGATGTTCCCAAAATGGAAACGAATACTGAAAGAAAACCTTGAATCATTGATCGATTCAAAAAAGATACTATTTGTAGTACGATAACTTGTCATATGCACACTATTCACATGTTCCTCGTACATACAGAATTTCCTGAAAGTAATAGTTCTAGATCTTGCATTCTATGAACTTTTCACAATGTGCAGATTTACTACTTGATCAGAAACGGTATTCTTTGAAGTTTTCTAATATTATGATACCTGTAAATCGATTTACAATGAAAAAAAAAAATTTTACTGATTCAAACTAAACTTAATGTTTTTCTCACAAGAAACAAACATGCATATATATTATTGTATATTTTGAGAGAGCTTTTTATTATGTTTAGCTTTCCCGGAACAAATAGCATCATTATTACCAGAAGGACGAACGGTTCTCTATTTATGGGGTCATGAACATCGCTTGAGTTTCTATGAAAAACAAACCATTAAACCACAGAAAAATTCTGATAAAAGTCTGACGTTATATGGTCGATGTATTGGTAATTCTGGCTTTCCTACATTAGCAACAGAGCTTCCGACCAAAGCTCGTGAAACAAAATTATTATTTTATGATGATCGATTATATAATGTTCAAGGTAAAGATGCTTGAGTTGATATGGCATTGGGCTTCAATGGCTATGTTACCATGAAATTTGTACATCCAAAACAACCAGATGGTACAAGTTTATACCTAAGTTATAAAAGCTTAACTTTAAATAATGATGGACAATTAACAGCTGAAAATCCAACTGTTCTAGTCAATGAAGAATGGTCTGTTGATTCCAATGGTAATGTTATTCTAAGTAAACTACAACCTGTCAATCAAGAAATTACAAAAACCGTACATATAAATATGAATAACAATGAATTTACATCAAATTCATCAGCTTGCTGTCAAGTATTGTAATAAAAGAACTATGTATTGTTCCTAAAACTAAAATAAAATCAATACATATGATGTCCTAATACCTGTCTTCTATCGTGTAAGTAGATCGGAAGGATAGTGTCTCTTGGAAGATATCTTTTGTTGATCTGAAAGTTAATGTTTGTCTATTTAGAAAAACTGTTCTGTTGAGTTTTGCCCTTCAAAAAATTTTGATTATCTCTCCAGATAAGAACTTCGAGATAAATAGTTGATTATTTTCTTGATAATGTAATATTTGACAGTTTTGAAGTATCTTTCAGTTTTTTGACTTTCTTTAACTGTTTCGGAATAATTTTCGTAAAATCTCCATGAAGAATTTAAATTTCTTTAAAATAAAATATTCTGTATAGAATCATAACCTATCTCTTTAGATAAAATCCAAATAACTTCTGAAATATGAAAAACAAGGTAACTCAGCGGAAAACACCCATTAAAACGCATTAATTAACAGAAGTCAATAGGTATCGCGAATAAGCGTGTCTAATTACACGCGATTTTTTTTAAAAAAAAATCTGTAATATGCAATTAAACTTAAAAATCGGCTAAAACTTGTCTTAAAGCATATTGTTCACTGCTTATCTATCTGTTTGGGTACTCATCCGGTTATTCACAATATCAAGTTTCTCCAACAACATGACTCATCGGTTTCTTGCAATTGACGATCACTTTTACAATAATATTGTTGATTTGGATGTGAGTTTGACTAGTGTGGACTGGATGTGTAGATGTATGTTGTCTCTTTAGACTTATGTACACGCACACAATCATGCACAAGAAGAGAAGAAGAAGAAAAAAAAATGTAAAATAAAATCGACACGTTTTTTGTCTTTCTTTGGAAGAGAAGTGAATAGTAAAAAGTAAAAAAAAAAAGTTGTTGAAACAAAAAATGACACTGCTTCTCGTCAACTGCAGCCAGAATGCGTCGAACACTTTCAGTACCTTCAAAATAAAATGAGTATCGAAAAATTATTTTTCATTTCAATGATTGAAATTCAGTTCCTATCGCTCAATCTAAAGTCACTTTACGTACAGTTCAAATAGATTGAACAAACTATAAATCAAAAGTCAATAGATAGTTTGTCCAAAAGAAAATCTAGTATTTAACAGCGACTGATTTTCCATACGAGAGAATATCATATTCTACTTCGAGCATATCTACTCAAAATTTCGATAAGCCTCACTTTTCGCCAATTTAACCAAGGACTCGAGTAATTCAGATTCAGAGATTCTAGACCTTGTTGTTTTAAAGGTAACTTGCCAAATCAAAACAATATGTATTGACAAGTGCCTTAGTTACTAACATGACTCGTGAACGTCTTTTAGAAACTCCATTTCTCGATGTACGGAGGTTGACAAAAATTTTACCATTCGTCTTGAGGAATTTTACTACTCCTGTCAAAGTCGAAGAGGATACGATTTTTTCTTCATTAAGGCACTCCTAGGTTTTGAATGTCAGACACTATTTTAGGGACAAGTTCTTCCCCAGAAGTCTACAGTATACTTTAGTAACGCAATTCAGTTAATAAAACATGCACTCATTGTTAACGTACAACACTAGTAGCAAAGTTACATGATTTTCTACGATAATTCATGTTGTATCGAATTCATTTGCTTTCATGTAAAAATTCTTTAGGCGGCATATATCTATTATCCGATCCAAAATAAAAGTCAGGTTACTATTGTTCGAATCACTTTTGATAGGACTGAGATAGACAACTGTATTTTTCACCATTCGAAATAGCGATGTCCAAGTCATTGATTGATATAGAACTCATTAAGACGAAAGGTGTGTCTTTTATAGGTACCTTTGGATCAACACTTTTTTTCGTGAATATTTTCACAATAATCTCAACTCAAATGATGTCAAAATGTAGCTCAAATCACTTTTTTTTTCGCTATAAAATTAACATTTATTTTTTTAAATCCGCTTAGAATAAGAGGTTGAGAGATAATGAAATATGTGATAATTTAATAGCGAAAAAAAAAAGGTGATTTGAGCTACATTTTGACATAATTTGAGTTGAGATTATTGTGAAAATACTCAAATGAAAAAGTGCTGATTCAAAGGTACCTATAAAAAAATCTTTTGTCTTAATGAGTTCTATACTAATCGATGGTTCGAACATCGCTCTTTCGAATGATGAAAACTGCAGTTCTCTATATCGTTCCTATCAAAAGTTATTTGAAAAATGGTTATCTACCTTTTATTTTGAATCGGATCATAGAAGAAAGCATTTGATAGTGGTTGAAAATTCGTTCAACGTGTTTAGATATTGGATATTTTGTCTGAGCTGTACTCTATTTATAAAAGCTTCTCTTTATGAAGTAACTATAGCATGTAACTGGCCAAATTTTTGATGACAAAAAAATATCAATATTAGCTTAATCTTGATTAAAAAAGCTATTCCAATATTTGATTTGCTTTTCTTTATTTATTGTAGAACTATGCCAGGTCCATTTATTCATGTGGGTTTTACGCTCGGTTTTGGAGTATTACTAATGGTATCGACAAAAGGATCTTTTACCGCAGTTCATTGTCTAATATTAGCAATGAATGGATTTTTTGGACCTGACATAGGAACTTTCATTAAAATGTGTCTCAATAGTACATTCCCAATCATAGCTGATGCGGCAATGCTTTGGATTCATGATAGTATTGTGTATATTTTGCTAGTCGCTCCTTTCATAGCTATTTTATGCTCAAAATTCTTGAAAAAAATGTTATATTGGAAATGGATAACATCGATGAATACTGATCTTGAAAATGTTATGAACAGCAATCAAACGGATATAAATATAATACCTTTGAAAATCAAACATTGCTATTTCTTAGCTGTTGCCGGATGCTTATTACATTTTCAATTCGATTATATATTTGAAGAGGATGGTCAGAATAATTTCTATAAATGGATTTTATCAACTGGATATTTTAAGAAACCTACTCCGCCTGTATCAATTTTTTCTATTATCTGTGTTGCACTGTCTACTCTTGCTTTATTATTTGGATTCTCTTGGATTCATCTTTTCTCGTCCATCTCCAAAGAATCTTTAAATGTTCGATTAACGTACACTTTTTATTTATTTTTAAGTATTTTTTGTTCTTATTTTGCTTTTTTAATTATTTCACAGGTATTCCTTGGAAATGTAGCTGTTGTTGGCGAGGAAGCAGATTTGGGAGTTCTAGTTTTTATGGTTGGGTTTCATTTTTTGCCTTTTATCTTGTGTCTACTTTCTATATCTAAGTAAATATTCTATCTATTGGGTACATCGAGAATAAAGATACTATCAACATATCATCTATTTAGCGATAAGATCCATGTGTGTGTGTAGATGTTAGAGATGCCGGCAGTAGCTTTTTTTAACCCATGGATCAACCCAGCCCAACCGATTGCTCTGTGGGTGGGTTTCAACAAAATTTTATATTTTGCATTCAGTCTATGGGTTGCAAGGTTGGATCGAGTAGCTTGAACCCTACACATAGGGTAACCCTGGTTATTTTGACTTTCAACTTTCTTTTATGTATTGATACAAATGAAAGTTTCAAGGCATTTATTTAAGGATTGTTGATAATATGTAAGTGATCGTCCCATAGGCTATGAAATAAAAATATACAGATTGTCCCGAAACTTCCTTGGAACAGTAAACAGATATCTTTTACACAACTAAAGCGGTTTCTATATATTTTTGTAAGATGATAGCGAGTTTGTTGAAATTTTATTTAGCGTACTTTCTGATATAGGGTTGTGTCTATAAATATAAGGAAGAAAATAATTTCAATCTTGTCCTTTTTCAGGTCACGTACAATCATAAAACCTAAAATTTTCATCGTCTTGAACAATGAAAGGATTAAAAGTAAACTCGAGTGAAAATAGTCACAAAGCTTTAATGAAATTAGTGCTGCTGTAGCTTAATAACCTCCGGAACAGTCTTTACAAATTGTAGAAGAAAAACCAAAACTAAACGAAGATTATAATGCTCGATTAAATCGATCACAATAAAGTATTCAACATTTTACAACAACTTGCTGATTCCCACGAACAAATTTTCATTAAACTAAGGTTTGATGTATTTCATTCAGGTCATAATGAGTTCGAATTAAGAAAAAAAATAAAAATAATAATTTATAAATTTCGGTTCAAACATGTAAAAGTTTGATACCATTGGTAAAGGGCAGTAATAATAATTAACAAAATTCATTTATTTTTTAGAGAAGTCATTTTTCATTTGAGAGAATAAATTCACCAATAAAGATAAAGGAAACACCAATGTCTATTTGATACTTATTCACTGTCAAGTTCAAATTTAGACAAATATTCATCACGACAATAAATTGATAAAAAGGCTAAATATAGTTTGTCGTTTTTTCTAGTCTTTCAAAAACGACTGATTGATCTGTTTCAATTGGATCTCGTTATTTTGAATATTTATTATAAATTGAAACCCATAAGAAATAAAATTTCGGAAGAAAAAAAGAAGATGAAATGCACTTTATGTATGTCACGCTTGATCATTCGACCAAATGATAAGTATTGACGAGATGATTGATCAGCTGAACGGATGAAAAAATACAAAGAAAAAATATCGAATACGAAAAATGGAATGAGAAAGATATTAATTAAAAGACCTTTTTTGGGATGTAAGTGTGATATTCACTGTAGGATTTTGGGTTTGAGTTTAGATTCATGTATGCATGTTGTCGTAGACAAAGACAAGACTCAGTTACATCTGATGGGTTACCTTATGTTAGTGGTAAAAATATGGTGAATCATGACGTCAGAAAGGTTAGCTATGGATTGGAGTTTTCTCTGCTGATATGCACTCCTAGACTTGGGTGGAGTCTCTAGTTCCTTGAATTAGATACAGAATTCAATTCTCCATGGAGCACTAACATTTTCGAGGACGGACATCGAGCAGAAACTATGAGTTTCAGTTGAGGATGTGATAACATGGGTTCGGCTATAGGTGTAGAGAATAACACTACACTCACAACTTTACCAGTTTCTCTATCGTTTCTCTTTATTCAATAAATTTTTTATTGATGCTATAGGTTACGATAATGGAAATGTACTCTTTTAATTCGACATTTTTCCGTCCGGTATTCTAGTTTTCTATATTTTTTCTCGGCATTTATCTTTTCATTGTTTTCCTATCATACCAATCATCTATGCCATATCGCGACGACATCTGCATTGGTTAAGTCTTTTCGTAAATCATTTCTTAACAATATAAATTATTTCATGGGTTAATCCATGAGTGGCCCAACTCAATGGGTTTCAGCTCTAACCAAACCTATTCGACATCTATGGTACGATCCTTATTTCTTCATAATATGAAATGGCAATCGATTGCTAAAATGTTGGAAGTGCATTTGAACGAGTTATTATTTAAACGTTTAAAAGTATATTCAATCTTACTCTCGAGAAGGAAACAGTTGAAAATGGCAAATCATTTTTACTTTTCTTTATAACACCATTCATTGACTGATTATGAATGATTCATCAGAAAAGAATAGAAGAAAAAGTAGATACGTTATTAAAATACTTTCAATATTTTTCATTGAATAAACTATTTTTCTTTATTACCATAAGCCAATCTATATATCTGTAAATCGTAGTAATATGAGTGTTTTGCTAAATATTTTGTGAAAAAATAAGGACGAATACTACATTGAGTAATCGTAGCTTTATTTGTGAGTAAACCTGCAAGAGATAACTCAAATGAATATTTGCTAGTATACACTAAAAGTGCACATATGTATGAAATAGCTCGAGTACTCATCCTGTCAAGTCATATTCGCTGAATGGGTATTTTCACTAGGACGAAGATCGATACCATGATAGTTGATTTGATGCATACTTATTTAATAAAAATTTATACATCATTTTTGACTTGTTTATTAGTCTCCTGTTTCTATTGACTATCCGTTTTTTCATCTTATTTTACAATTATGCGTGATATCAACAAATAATTTATTGATCGTCAATTTTATTGCACAACGTATAGATTTTCATTTTTCGTATATTTCATAGTTTGTGCTCGACATCAAGTTCTTATTCGAAATCCAAGCTTTTGTTTTCCTTTTGTGGACTTATTATGACAAGATATTTGCAACTTGTTTGTGCATTTTCTATTACATTTTTCTTCGTCGTTGCAAATTTCTATGCCATCAAATGTCCATATTTACCTGTTCATTTTTAATATTTTGTCTGGTATGATATTCTGATTCTTTTCTTACTCGTATAGAAATAGGTTTCATAACTGCAATTTTCAATGTGAAATATTATGTAATTGAACAAATTCAGAGATCTTTTTTTTTTATAAACATAGAAGATTTTATTTTCTTTATTTTTCTTATTGTCATCGTAATTCTTATGATATATGACATTTGTCATCAGTGCTTTTTTTTTCAGAAACCATTTATGAGATGTAAACGTCATCTTAGATAATGGCGCAATACCTTATAGACGATCTCATAAATTATGTTGATAGTACGTCTTTATTTAAGTATTTATGTGTAAAAGTTCAATATTAATCAAAGAGAAATGCATCAATTGATCAGAAATATTATTCATTTTACTAGACTATCGTAGCAAAGATTATGAAGAACTCGAATTATTGCTTTAGCTACAATATCAGTGATAAAACATTGAATCAAATAAATGAAGATTATTTCAAGTATATATAGATCATTAAGAATAATAAAGAACAAGATGAATTTTTATTGAAGCAATTAAAAAAAGTCTATCTTTTTCATGCGTAAGTATTAATGTATACAATAATATAATGTTTGTTCATATTTATTAACCATTTCGATTTTTTAACCAAGGACCTGTTGCTTGTTTATGACGTTGAATATCGGCTTCAGTTACACAACATAATTTATCTTTACCACAAATTTCTGTTTGTTTAGAACATTTTAAAGGTGTTTTACAGCATGTATTACTAATTGCACCACCACATCGACCTTTGTACACACTACATTGACCTTTGCTGTCGTCTTTCTGTTTGCCTTTTCCAAAAACCCTATAATGAAATACATTTGATTACAAAAAGTTGAAAGATTTTTAATAACTTACGCATTTGTTTGTTTCATAAACAAACAACTAATTATAACAAGTAAAAAATAAATTGTTAAATACTTCATGTTGAATATAATCTAAAATATAGCAAAAAAAAAAGCCTTGTCTTCTCTTACTTCATCTCGATTATGCGTGCTTATATGTATGTGTGCCTTTTTCTTTTATCATTGAAACAAGTTAAGGCATGTAAGAGTATTTATATACATAAATCAGACTGAGAAACGAAAAGAATTCACCCACAACTGTCAACAATGAATATAAAATTATCTTGTTGTTTTCGTCACCAACTTCTATTAATAACAGATTATGAATAAGTATCATTAACTGATATCTATCATATCTAAATTTTTTTCTCGCTTTCATCAGTTATTTTTATTGAAAGGAAACATAGAATTCTTTTTGTAACATATCTTATCTTTAAAGCAAAAGCAAATATCTAATTCACTAATCAGAATTGAACATAACCTCTATAATGTAGTGAAAATGCATGAATATTGTTGTACTCTCAAACAATGAAATTGTTTATTATCATCGTTTATATATTCTTGAATACTTTAGCAACTGAGAATCTGTATAGAATTTAATGAATTTAGTAGGATGCTCTTTAAAAATAACAAATACATTTTAGCGACATCACTTTGATTTATTTGTTTGTTCATATATATGTATATATCTACCTACTGTTCATTCATTCTTTCGTTAATCGAGCAACAATTCGATTGGTGTATTAATAAATAAGTTATCTCGCAAAAGATGACTTAAGTAAATTTTCTATCAAGTAATCAATAAAGCAGAACTGTAAAGATTTTGAACTTAATTATTAATACGGTTGAAAAAAAAATTTAACATATAAATTGTAAAAAGCAATTAAGAGTTTGTCAAAAAATAGAATGTGTATTGGGATAAATATCGACGAATTAGAATGATATTTAAATATTAAATTTTGAAATTTTCTAGAATTTAATAGACTAGAGGCATAGCAAAATGTTCTTCCAAGCGGTAAACATTCGTTAATGGAGAAAGCTAGATGTATTGTACGTATTCATCTCATCCGGGTAAATTCTGTGTGGTTTCTTCTAAATTTTCAAAACATTTATTTCCATTCTTTCGTTAAAATTAAAAGTAGAAAATGATATTTAAGAGGATGTAAATAACAAATTTGTGTCAGTCAGATACCTTAATGAATGTTATGAAAAACATTTTCTTTCTTACAACTTCCCATTCTTGTGTTAACAGAAACCATGGCTCTTCTAAAAGTCAGTCAATGTTGCGACTGCATGTACAACGATATCAAATACTCTGATAAATTTAATCATACTCATAGTCTTTTCACACATATCATGTATCATATGAATGCATTTAAAAAGTCTAACACTTACACGAACTTTTCTAATAGTTTTGAAATGTTTGGTAATCCTCAGCCAGAGCATTTATAGAAAAATTTCAGTCAACAATAGTAAGAAAAGTCTCAATATGCTTCAATTTAACAAACGAGAGAACTCTTCCAACTGGTAATCTTCATTCGAACTCATAGTTTGCTGCTTGTTAGAGTATATTGTGCAGATAAGTCCTAAAAAGATATGCACCATAAGTACTTTCTTCTTATGAGTTATGATAATTTTAATGCGTTTTCAGACTATTTCATTCAGAAACAGGTCTCATGATATCCTACAAGTTTCAGCGAAAATGAATGCCTCTGTGTTAAGATAATAGACTTGTAAGACTGCTGCTTTTTTTTTGCAAACGATTCGAGCAAATCTTGTTGTTTTTCAGTATACAATATCTTGAGAAGAAAGCGTAAATACCAAAATCCACACCGCCACAGAAGATCTCTCAACAATCTATAAGAATTTTCTCAAAATAAATAAATATATGTCATAAATTGATATATATTTTGTGCAAACAAAATGACTAATAAAATCATTCAATGTTACAAATTTCGATTACAGATCATGAAAAATAAATGTAATAATACAGTTAAAATTGCTTCCGATTCAACATCTTTTAACAGAAGTATATGTCAGATAACTAAGGTACAATTCATAAAACATATCACATAAAATAAATCTCACTCTATACAAGCTATTGATGAGTCTCAATAATTCACACAGAACTCTTGTAATGGGTTTCTTTTGAAATATTCTTTGTCAGAAATTCTCATTAAGTCCTATAGTATCACTTATAAATACAAAATAGTAATATAACACGAACAATTTTGTCAATCGAAATATCTATTCACAACTCAACACTCGATCATAAACAAATTCATATTTCTTACTCTTTTTTTCTTTTATTTCCTTATAATAATATAAGAATTTTCACATGATTTATTTTTATTGAAGCTAACAACATAGAGTTCAGTTTACAATGAAGGAAAATATCGATAAAATTCTTTTAAATTCTTGATGCTTCGACAACAATTGTGTGATGTTTTATCTTTCGTAAAGTTCATTCTTGCAGTTTTCAATTGGTGATAATTGACTTTTAATTCAGTTAGGCAAGGTAGATATGTCTTTGTTTCGAGTAAAAATTGTACGACATAATCTATATCCACAGATATGATATCAAGTGATATAAGATGAATTCCATTCATCACGATTCCATGACTATCATGCTTCATTCTTTATAGAAAAACTTTTTTATGCAATGAAAAAGCTTGACTAATTCGCATGAAGAATTCATGTTTTATTGAAATCATATCGTAGGCAGACAAATTAGTTACAGTATCAAATATAAAAGATGAATGTATGAAGTTAAAGCATATGAATAAGAATTTCATTATTAAGATGTGTTTCATCGACAAATTCACTTCGACCATTAATACGAAGATACAAAGTTAACTTTTCAAGATGCGTCATACGACGAAGAAGAGGTGCATCCACACTCACACCCTTCACTTATATTGAAAATTTGTACAGTCATAAAATAATTGCACGTAATCTTGATAGCAGAACAATTTATTCATGAATATTTGAAACCTTTGGTAGATCTGAAGCACATAGATTCAAATGCATTTCATTCATCCAAACCCTATGAGATATTAGCAAATATAATTGTAATATCAATATATTTACGTTTGATTTTGATCATTTGAATGAAATATTTAGTGGAAAACCTTCTTCGGGAACTTTATTTAAAGTAAATAATGACAAAAAATAAGTTGCTTCATCATATATGTCATCGTATCTATATTATATCTGAATACAATTGATCAATTAGAATTTCTTATTAAAGACTATCCGAAGAAATGTTATTATGGCTAAAAAATAAAAATGTACTTAAAATAACTAAGTTTTTTATTATTTTTTCACTTTTTCGAATAATAAAGGGTGATCTAAAATCTTCCGACTCCTCTCAATTAATCGATGATATATCTACAATAAACTTATGTGAAGTTACTAATCAAATTATGTCATATTGCAGAGAAAGATTAGAACTATTACCTGAGAAAAAAATCTAGCTCGAAAAACATAAATCTACTAATATGTTATGGTCATTTTACTAATTGTGAGTGAAAATTTTTACATTACATTTTTTGAAAAAACAAAATATGTTTGTACCATACTAAATGATATATAGTTTTCTAGATACTTTTATATGGTTCGATAAAGTTCAACAAGCTCTACGAGAATATGAATGTTTAAAGAAGCTCTGATCTTATTTTTAATAAAAAAAAAACTTGAAGAAAACGAGAATGATTAATCAAAATTTCATGTATCAAATATTCGACAGAGAGAGAGAGAGAGAAAGTTGAGCTTTCAATAGCTTTAGCTAGTTAACTGTTCCATCTGTTCATTTAGCTCGGAAGTGTTATTTTCAGCTTCAGTATGAGACGGTGCATTTCGAAACATCAATTAACAATAGATCAAATAAAGTTAATTGAGAGTTAATCATACTATTCTCATGCAACATATGCAAGATTTTTATTAATATGTGTGATTTCTGCCGAGTTTTATATTGGAAATAGGATTCAATTTTTTCTTGATATTCATATTCTTGTAGAGCTGGTTGAACTCTATCGAACCATATAAAAATATCTATTAAAAACATGTAGAAAATAATATTTCACTTGACTTTCACAACTCAAATATTAAAGATTTTTTTTTTATTTTTCAAAAAATCTAACGGAAAACATTTTAATAGATTTATGTTTTTTGAACTAGGTTTCTTTTAGATGATAGTTCTAATATTTCTTTACAAAATGACATAATTTGATCAATAACTTTACATAAGTTTGTTGTAGATATCATTGATTTACTGAGAAGAGTCGAAACTTTTGGACCATTCTTTACTTTTGTCTATCAATAAATCTATTCTAATTAATAGTTCATAACTCATATTCTAATGTTAGATCTTTGCATTGTTCGCACTTATTCTAATCTAAAATATTTGATACACAAAAAGAAACAAAAAAAAACACACACACACACACAAACATGTTTATTCTAAAACCTAAACTTTAGTTTGACGTGTAAATCGAGTTTGTTCAAATGGTGCAAAACGTTCAATTGGAGGAGCTTCTATTAATATAGGATTTTGTTCATTTATCTTTTCATCTTCATCAAATTTTGATACAGTTTTTATTTCAACTGTAGATGATGTAATAAAACAAATGAATGTTATTATTAATACAAATATAATACATATATATGATATACCGAAACGTATATCTAAATCATGTTCAAGTTGTTTAATAATTAAATGTAAATCACTTGAAAATTTATAAATTTGCGTACGTAAATAATGACGATGCATTGATTGAAAAAATTCTAATGGTTCAATAAAACGATTAGAATTCTGTTGTATTATTATAATAATAAGAAATAATAAAGAAATTAGAGTTAATATGATTCCAATAAGGCGAAATGGAACATCATTTAGAGATGAAGTCTGACAATGATGACAATATAATCGAAGAAGATTAACAGAAATAAATAAAACTTGAAGAATTAGAATTAAAATAAGCAAAGTATGAGTTATGCTTATATAGGACGGTTTTTGACAAGTACATTTTTTTACCGATAATGAATTTGAAAATATGCATTGATTATGATGTTTAATATTATGACAAAGTCCATAATTAGTTTCATGATATGAAGGCAAAAGATTTCGACCACATTTACTTTCAGCTATGCAACGTGATAATAAACCATATGAATGTGTTCCACCTAAATTCAAATATTGATTAGTTTATTTTAAATTTAAATAAAAATAAAAATACCTCGACGATAAAGTACATCATAATATTTATCAACTTCACTACGAATTAATGGATCTATTTGATTATTTTCAGAGATAATTGTAGGTATAGATGTTGAACGAAGTTGAACATGTTTCCAATTTGGTAAAGAATATGCAATTAAACTTAGTATGAATGAAATCATACTAAGAATAAGAGATAAAATTATAAGATTACGTGCGTAAGATTGCTTCATTCATGCAAATGATTATCTGAAAAAAAAACAAGAAATTTTATCAAACACTTTATGTTAAAAGAAAAATAAATAAGTTAAAAATAACATTTCCTTTAGTAACTATTGAAAGTCTTCTCTTTTTATTTTTCTTAATGAAATTTTGTTTAAAAAAATGTTTATCTTTATAAAAACAAAACTCGTATGATATACTTCACTAACATTGTTGAGTATTAATATAAGAAATGTGTTTTTCTACTTATGATGTAATTAAATAGTTAGAATTACTGTATGTGACATACTAATGTTCATGTAATTAGTGCGTTTACTGACAGGTGTGTATGTGTTGCTTATAAACGGATAGAACCAGACGTATTATATTAACATTTGTGTCAGCTCAACCAGCAGTGATGTTTCTCGTTTTCTTTTTTATTACTTAATACACTCTATATAAATTTGCTAGATAGAAAAAAGAGGCCTAGAATATGCAAGTCACGTCTTCATTTTGACGTAATAGATAAACGTGTTCCTCAGTCAAAGGAGTGTTTCTTTTCTTCACTGACCTTCTCAAATATGATAGCTATTCGAATACATTGCTTTTCTCTCTCGTATAAATCGAAACAAAAGAAATCGAAATAACTACGTGATGAACACTATTCTATTTGCATATTGACTTTAAAATGAATCACATTAGTATATATATAAATATGTATTTGATGATCGCATCACTTCACCTGTCAGATAGACTATAAAAAGTGATAGTACGATTAAAATGCATCGTTGAGTGTTGATGCACATGCATGAATATAAACTGATATCTTTCATACGTCAATGCTCGAAGCATACAAGAATGAGTGAGTAAATGATCACTATGTCATCACTATAGATGAATGTATAAGAACGAGAAAGGATATGAATATTTTTCTTTTTTTGTTAAGAATTTACTTAAGGAAATTTTTTTTTTCAATGTTGAAATAAATGATATCATTTTTCTTCTTTTGTTTTCTTTTTTTTTTTGTAACTGATCGCCTAAAGAAATAGAAAGAAGATGTTATATATATAAGTTCATTGTTTGTATCAAAAAAAAAAAAGCAGGTGTAGAATATTGATTAAAAAAAATTGATAAAACAGTGTAGCCATGCTTACAATGATTGTTTTTCTTATGTTTGTCGTTGTTGAATATAAGAAAAATCATTGGTATCTTTACAAATAACCATGAAAAATGTCCATTAGAATTCCAATGAGATTTGTAGTATAACTAAATTGCTAATGATTAACTATGTGTGTGTGTGTGTGTCACACAAAACAGACATTTGATGATCATAAAAACGATAGACAAAAGCACAAAAAAAAAATTAACTAAAGATAATATTTCATATATGGATGTGTAATATATACTATGGGCATCGATATTTAGCTAAGTAATATACTGTTGATCATTTTCTTCTTATTACTTGACAAGTTCGAAAGTCTGTTGAATATATTTTGATAAGATCATTAGACGAAGAGCAAATACAGTATTAGACTATTTATCATCATCATTGTCATTGTCCTTCTCTCTCTCTCTCTCTCTCTCTCTTTTGGTTCTAATACAAAGAACAAAAATGACAGTATTTGACGCTTGTTTGTTTTACACAACAGGCAGTCAGGCAAACGTCTTTGGTATATGTATGCCAGCAACAAGGAATCAATTTCTTCATTTAGTAAACATCGATTGGCATTTGTGCTCACATTCTTTCTGTCTCTTTTCTCAAGTGATAAATGACAACAGTATGTATGCTGGTATATTTATCGCTGATGAGTTAACATGAAACACATTGTTTTATCCTTCATAATCACACATAAAAGTAGGGGCAATTTAGAGTAGAAGGTCATTGTATTTTAGATATACTTTGTTAACTATGAACGTCACACGTCGATAAATTGAATGACAATATTTAATATAAATATATGCATATCGTATAAAACATAAAATTCAATTGAAGCATGAATAAATATTTAATCATTGAACATTTGATAATGTACAAGTAGAATGAATGATTTAATTATGAACTATTCTATTTCTATTCAAAGATGTCAATTATGATTTTATGTTTCCTTTAAAGAAGAAAATTCTTGGAGATAATATTTTAATTGAATGAAAATTTCTTTATTTATCTTGATAAAATAATACAAATACGATAGAGTGTCGTTGAAGAATAGTGTGAGAATTGTGAAGTATAGAAAAACAAAACGAAATTTTGAGTAATAATTTAGTGAACAAAAAATAAAGTATTTCGACGAACTATAGTAAGGTTAGGTAATTTCACTTTGAAGATGATCAGTGCATCTCAATTCTATTTAATCCACGATTAAATCAATGAATTATAATTTAAATCATTCTAATTCACTTTTCAACTCGAACTTTTGGTTGATAAAAATAAAATGTCAAATGAATTTCTTTCGAAATTGAATTCATATTAGTTTTCTATACTGAAAAACGATCAATATATCATGAATAAATTTTATTCTATTGAATGAAATTATTTCAATACACACATAGCTATTTTGTACTTTATTTTTTAATTGACTATTCTGATAAAACTTTGTTCACTAGATGTATCTTCTTCAATACTTTCAGTTTGATAATTAGACAGATATGATATGTAAATGTTTTAAATTAACATAATTCTTGATTCTTCTTCTCATAATTTCTACTAAAAACAGATTTTTACATATTTCATTGTTTTTTTACGAGTGAGAGTAAATCTTTTGCCGAGCTATGGTGCTTACACAGATTATTTCAATGTAGATAAAAAGCCCATGCAAACAGAATACATTCATCTCTCATGATAATATAGTATTCTTTTATCACAGTGCTTAAAACAACATTGTTTACGCTTTTATATGATGACAATGATATACACAATATGCAAGTAAATATATTTTGTCGTTCTATACGATCAAGAATCTTCATTCTATGCTGTGTGTTCGCGTTGTAAAATATTCTTGCTATTTTGAGTCATCGACCAGATTGTTTTCAATCATAAAAATTCTTTTCATTTGTATTCGAAAAAAATGGAAACTGATCTGAATCAATAAAATATCTCAATGGTTAGCGATATTTACTAAGAAAGAATAAGAATTGTTATCTGATAAACGGTGCATAATGTTAACTTGTCAAACAAAAAATGGTCCAGTTAGAAAAGTTCAAGTTCATATGCCACAATATTTTCTATTTGAATAATGTAAGTCTATGTCACTGTAAATAAACATTTGATGTTTTTAGCAAAGATAAATATCTTTTACTATTTAAAGTTTAATGTTTGATCTGCTATTCATTCATTTTATTTGATTACTGTCAATATCGATAATTAATCTTTGATGAAATATCAACATCTTTTTAGAATTTATCAGAAAAAAAAAGTTGTTCTTCTATGAATTATTGTAATTGTTGATAAATGTGGTATATTCAATTCGAATTCTGATTTAATATTGATTTAGTGGAAAATACACAAATATTCTATGATCAGTTACGAAAATGAATTAAGTTTCCGTTGTTATCAAGAATGAAATTATTTTTCTAACTAATGTATTCATTTTTGATTGTTCCATAATATACTCATTTTTATTGTTTTAAGACAATTATGAATAAAAGAGACAATATCTTTAAAATAGATGATGATCTGTTTCAACCAGTCAACATTGAAAATGAGGCTATGCTCTGAGAAAATGTTCAATTAGATGTACCACCTATGGTCTATATGCTTCCGTAAATGTGTGGATTAGACTGTACTAGAATTCTTTTTTGGAGAGCAAGCTATTGACTGAACTCTAACAGGAGAGCGACAGCCCATGACTAGTCTTCCTCTGATCCAGTCATATTCATGTGAAGTCTTGTTACTCACGAAATAGTATTTAAATGCTTTTTGTTTGTTGAGTATATAAGAACAATAATGATGATTTGTGAAAAAACAGAAGACGTTTTTTCTTTCATAAAACTTCATTCCATTTTCTGTGCTTTTTTCCATTCCTCGTTGTTGATTCATATCAATTAATCTCTCACTGTTTTTCTCCTCAGTTATTCAAATAGTTGAATAATGTGAATTAAACACTCAAAGATATGAATTCATAATGTATTGGTTCAGACTCATATTGTCGAACTTTTTTCATCGAAAAATTCATCCCCGGTTCTCCTTAGGGTTGACTCAAGAAATTTCTTTCATCAAAATGCTGTTTTTATTGTTTAGTCATCTGTCATTTGTGTTCTACCGTCATTTGACAACCTTAGTACTTTGTTTCCACTGTCAAAATATCTTTTTCATAGAATTAATTATTAGATTAAATTTTCTGGATGAAAACAAAACTCTTGAACATATTAGAAGTGCACATCAGTTGACGCTGATTTTGAATATCCTATTAGTTTCGACTCAATTTATCATTTTTCTGACCAAAATCTACTAAATGCTAGCAAAAAAAAACAAAATCGTGTCTCGATAATTGTTTGCGCAGAGTTTTTCAAAGTAACCACTAGTTTTTCAGTTAGACAAATTTACGATTTTGTAGTATTTGTAAAGCACTATCGATTGATATATAAAGAATTACTTAAAGTGAACTGTGTGAATTCCGTATCTTCTCATTTGCGAACATAAAATCGAAATCCAAAATCTGTTAAATTCAATTTCAATTTTTTTTTAAATTTAATTTATTTCAAACACGACTTAATAAATCTAACATCGACATAACATTTTAAATGAAGCTCGTTTTCTTCTCTATATTGATTACTTTCTGTTACCATAATGGATTCACTAGTACAAATGAGTCCGAGAGATTAATACTTCATAGTGTTAAACTATAACAAGACTTACAGACTACAATATATACCTATAACATTTCTGACGTCATTACTTTCATTCGATATTAACGAAGTAGCCGTTGTTAGTGATACTATACAAATTATCTACAATCAAATCAAATATTAATGTCTAAAAGCATAAAAATATTCTTACATGTTTCTGCCGAAGACAATCTTTTTACGTTGATCTTCAGTTATGACATTCTATGTATACTAAGAAATCAAATGAAGAAGAATATTCTGACATAAACTTCCATCTACATAGATGGTTGTACTGATGATAAAGATGTTCAGAAGATTTTAGCTAAAAAACGATCTGTCCTTCACGACCTGTAAATGTTTCTCTTTTCCTAAGACATTCAACGTCTCTCAAAGAAAATTTTCAGAGCATGCTCACTACAAGTATACCTATCTATGAGTCGAAGTACAGATCGAAATATACTCATAACTATTATTCTAAGTTAGAATCCCATTGAATTCATCAGATCGAATAACTCTCTCGAACGATTTACCATTTTTATGCAATTAATCGAAAAAAAATTTAATTTCGAACAAATTTTACTCTGGAAAGAATACGGCCCTCTAACTTAGAATTTCTAGTCTCATGTACTCTCGTGTATCATCATGTACTGGAGGAAAAAACTTAGAATTTGTACTGTTATGTAGGGTGTGGGTGCACAACTCTCATTCACCCACACTCTGTACGTTAGTTTTTTCTCTTAAAAACTATACAAATAATCAATCAATTACACAATTTCTTTGTTTTCGATCTATTTTAATATATTATTTGGGTCACACTTTTTCATTTATTTGATAACACTATTTACAAAACAACAATAATTATTCGAGATTAGGAAAGTAAGTATTATATTGTTTAGGTAAGTCTAAGTACTCATGAAGAATAAGTTGTTTTATTTTCGAACAATTATTACGTGTCGCATTCCTTGTAAAATTTAGTGTCACACGTTGTAATTGATGATAATCAATTCCCAATCGAATATAATTTGATAGACACGTTTTTGTGTCAAATAAAAATTGTTCTGCATAGTCATCATGAACGTTGATAAGACCAAGCGTAATAAGATGAGAATATTCAATAAATGAAAAATTTCGATTGTCGTTATTTTTTGACTCTTGTTCTTGTTTGAAAGTTTGTGATTCTTTATTAACTATAAATAACACTTTCAGAAACGGAAATGCTTGTGAAATTCGAATGAAAAACTCATGTTCAAAAGGACGTTCATCAAATAATTCTATTTCTTGAACATTATTAAATAATCCACCTGGAAAATTATTAGTTATATTATTATAATGTGTTAATGTATATGGACATGAATAAATATGACATTGAACATATTCAGCTTTTGGAAAATAATCAACACAAGAAATAACTTGATAGTCTTTGAAACTTGTAAATGTCCGATAAATATCGTCATTTGATGGGAAAGACATTACATCGATAAAGTGACCTGCTGATCGAATATTAAATATGAACTGATTTAAGTGAGGCATATGACTTATAATGTTCAGTTTCAAATTATTTCCATCGATCAATGTTGCATGACATGTGCTCACAAAATATAAAGCCAACTTCTTCAGATTAATCATTCGCTGTAAATGTGGCACAATTACTTCATTGTAAAGAAATGTATCACTAATGCATGTCAACGAAAAATCTTCAAGATTAGGTAGTTTTTCCTAGAACAAAAATAATATCATCATTTAGTAGAGAAACTAATATCAGAGTAGGTTTACTTTCCTGATTTTTTCTTAGTTATCAATAAAGAGCCTTTCTTTTGGCGTTATTATGATATCTTGTCTGTTCGTAGACGATCTTTTGTCGAAATTTATATTAGAATAGTTCCAATAGATTTTTTCTTAGAAAAAGAGACATTATATAGGCGTTGTATTTTTTTGTTTATTACTTTATTTGTACATCTTTCGTTGAAACTATCGCTATTAAAAAGAAACCGATCATATTGCCTACTTTAAGCTATCGAAATGTTGATCTTTTGTTGGTAAAGGCGAAAAATAGAGAGACAGTCAGTCTGTCTCTCTGCGAGAGATTTGATTGAAAGTAATTTTTCAAACTGAAAGCCCTTCTTCTGCTTCTGAATTGGATGGAATCAATTCAAATTAAATTCGTTTTCATTTTTTAAAATGGCTCAGAAAAAATCTATTCCAAATCAGAATTTTCGTTTTGTTTTTCAATTATGCTCCTGTACATTTCGGTTGCGATTAGGATATAGGGTATAGTTTCGTTGTTTAAAGTGGCAATGAATAGAAGATAAACTGACGTTATTTTTAAGTTCATTCCAATGCTCAGCATAATAGAGCAGAGGGTAGCTGCCTTATGTCATGCAAGGTATGACTTTTACTTCTATATAAACAGATATTGAAATTTTTGAATATGGTTATTCTTTAGTGACATAAAAAGTTTCGCAGGTGTAGAAAGATTTCCTGTCTGACAGTCTTGAAAATACATTCTAGTGGTGGAAACAATCGTGTAAAAAGTGTTTTTACATCTGCAATTGACATAATTTCTCATTTTCCACCGGAATTGAAAATTAGACATATCGTTCCTATCGAAAATCGCTCTAGTTATTTGAATAGACACATTTGTCGACAACTATATGCAATCGACATTGTTTTCTACAATATATGAAGAAGAAAAAAAGATAGTCAATGAAAAGATGTACAGCATCACCACTACGAACTCCTAGAAAAAAGTTTCACTGTACGCCCCTATTTCTCTTCATCAGTTTTGGTGTTGTCGGCCTATAACGTAAACTTCAACTAGCCCACCCATACTGGATTCCTTGACAAGTAAATTTTCTCCAAAATTCCTGATTTTTTTTATACTAATTGTTCTGCCTACTTTCCTTATTTTTGATCTCTAGGTCACTGCGAACCCTGACGTAATATTGATATTGAAAAAAAAAATAATCAAATGTAACAATAAATATGTTATTCTTCTTGTCAAGTAATTTACCTTGTTGATCATTGTTCTTTCAACGGGAAGAATATGAAAAGTTGCAACAAACAATTTGCGTAGTTGATTCAAACGGCCATCGAGTAGAAAAAGACATTCATCGAAACGATACACAGTCATATGTAGTTCTACCAGAGATGAAGAAGAAAATATTGGAGATTGTTTACCGAATGATATATATCCACATCCCCTAGGTACTGATGTATAAAATTTCAAATGGCGAAGTTTATGACACATGATCAAGATATTCATAAAGATGTTTGCTGGTCGATGAATTTCCACGTGATCTAGTAGTACCTCTTCTTTGCCGTTAATATTTAGTATCACAATTTGATTTTGAAAGATGCTAACTAGAGGTGATTTATCTAAATATAACTATAAACATGTTATTTCTCTTAAAATCATTCTTGTTTTTTCTTTTTCAATAACTGTTACATATGGGCATGGCCAGTCTGGCCGGAAGATCCATCGATATTTTTTCTATGGTAAGGATAAAACATACTATTGTTCGGGTCATATGAAAGAGGATCATATATAACCCCTACATTGACCCGAAAAATACCATGTTTTATTCTTACAATAGTGGAGAAAAGTTACGAGCTCACAGATCGGCTGGTAGCGTTTCTCCACTATTGTAAGGATAAAACATGGTATTGTTCGGGCCAATGTAGGGGTTATCTATGATCCTCTTTCATATGACCCGAACAATAGTATGTTTTATCCGTACCATAGAAAAAAAATCGATGGGTCTTCCAGCCAGACTGGCCATGCTCATATATTTACATATTCTCATTGTCTATCATTTATAATATCCCTGACTGAAAGCATAAATCTATCAATAATATTTCTCTTGAATCTTGTTTTGTCAAAATGTATCGTATAATGTACGCAGACATTCTTTCATCTGATGCACAAAGATTTATTTTTAATGTTATTCAAAAATTTTTGATAACAGTTAGATAACTAGTTCCAAAATATTCTCTTTCCTCAATACAAGTTAAATAAATGACAAACAATTACTAGTTAAACATTAAATTATACTGTTTCTCTTCTTTAACCTTATCTTTGCTTTTCTATTTCAATTTTGAACATCATAATCTTAACCATCATTCATGTGAACACTTATTTATCATCGCAAATGATCTACGTGCTTTACAAAGAACAATGAAAGACATCCTGCGAAAAAAGGATTTACAGGATATTTTAAAAGATATCATTTCCTACGTATCTAAATCCATATTCTGTTTCTATGTAATCTTAGATATTTAATTATGTCTACAAATTGTCTTTCAGATATTTTAGTCTTGTTCACATTTAAAATGACCTATATGCTATTTCACATATGATAAAAAGATATCCATTAAATATAAAACAAATATGTGCTATTAATTTTCAATCTCTATCAATAACTAGATAATCAAAAAAGTAGTTATGAAAGTCAAATGTCTTACTAGTAAACAAATGCATGTCAGTTTTTGTATTCATAATAAAAATATCCAATTGACGTAGATTAGAATAGTTGTTAGCAGCAAGAAGAATACGTTCCATTGATAATGTTTCAAGTTTGAGCCATTTGATTTTATCATGAATTTTTGGTAATATTTGTAAACAAAATCGATCAACTATTATATGAGGTAGTGGAGATGTAAGTAGAAGTGGTGAGATTCGTTTCATTAACGTAATTTGACTGGTGAAAATCGGATCAGACACAATTTGATTGAGTCGCATGTTAATATCCATTAAAGAATAAAATATTTCGACATTTTCTAATTTCTTGAAAATCATTAAAAGTATCTCATCAGGTAAGTCAAATAATCCAATACATGAACATTCCATATTTATCATTACATTGGATTTTGTCTTAATTTATATGTCATCTATTCTCACTTTTTCTATTTAACCTTGCCCGTCAAATAAACAATGATATTCTTCTTTTCAGTCGAAATCAATTATGAATATATGAATAACACTTTTTCTTTTTCTTTTTCTATTTCGTTCTTATTATCAACCCATACGATACAAAAAGATGGAGAGCAACTGAAAATTTTTCACCTGGTCAAATTTTTCTTACGTTATGTCTTTCTACCTGCGCTTAATTGTTTTTACGAGCAGTTGGCGACTTTCAATCTTTTTCAGAGTCGAATGAACAGTGCAAAAGAGAAAATCTTCTCTCCAATTGTTCACAGATCATCAGATGTTTTCTTTCACACAAAAATATTTCGCTTTATATTACAAAGACAATTAGCAATTGTCTTACCAAGGGACATACATGACCTACTCTGTAGTTCGGAGAAACTGAATATGATCCTAAAAGACAATGAATTAAGCTTAAACGAAGAATCAGTTGAGGGCAAAGAGGAACTGAGGGTTAACTGTGAGACAGCCGCGTATGGAAAATTTTTGCAGTAGTACACATAATGGCGTTAACAGGATTTTGACGATGGTAGGGCTCACAGGGTGGGTAGTTGGACTGAGCTCAACCCTGCCCTACCTTGGTGACGCCACTAACGAGGAAACCTCCGGGCTATAATTGCCAGTCAATTTCAACTTAAGAAGCAACTGTATATTTCTAGTTATCTACATTACTGGTACTTCATCCTAATAACTAAAAAAAAATATGTCTAACCGAACATCTTAGTTCATTACGTAGAATAGCTTCTCAAAAAAAAAGAGATCGATGGTTTGAAGTAATATTTTCGAGATTGACCGATTTTCAAAGAGAGATATATCTATTCAATAATCAATATCGGTGACTGACATCTGCTATTATTCATTTTATGTTAAGTAATGGGTTGAATTACTTAGATTTCCAATACAGTATCGCTTGAATATTTCTTTCTTTTTTCAACAAACTTGCCTACAGCGTCTGATATACGTCATTTTTTGTTTCTTACTTGTCAACAACATCAAATATTATTTTTTTCTCCTCCACTTCAGAACAGTTTCAAAATAATTCAAGTCTATTGATATATTTTTGAAATAATTCTAATGTTTTTTTTTTTACATAAAAGAGAGCACTAAGAGTTTGTTTTATTAAATGATATTGATGAATATATACCTTTTTTTACTTACTATAACAAGTTTTACATAATAGATAAGTTATGGATGGTTGATCACACATGACAAATGATATGTTGATTGTTTGTACATAATTGTATGATGAAAATCTTAGATGTATCCAACTCGTAATCCATTTTGGAATGATATTCTTGCTGGTTTTGAAAGTGAAATAACAACTGTAACTGCTTCACATCCAATAGAAACAATATTAATCCAACGAAACATCAATTCACCTGAAGTTCATCGAAATGCCTTTCATTCTCTTCAATTGATATATCAACGTCAAGGTATAATCAATGGATTTTATCGTGGAAATATAAAGGACCTGATCAAAAATCATAAAATTTTCCCCACACTGGAAATGTTATAAAATGAAAGTACTTTCATAGTAGACAACTATTCTGATCTCGATTTGTTATCCTTCAGATGTAATTAAATTAGAAATTCAAACAGATGATCTTAGACCTGGAGATCGAAAATATATTTGGGTAATTCCACATGAACTCAACCACACCGATACCGAAGTAGTGACTGATTTCGATGAAAATTTCAGGGTTTGTAGAGCTTTTAATTCTAAGACTTTTGGTAAAAAAAATTTTTTCAAAAGATTTTGTTTTGAATGAGATAAGTCAAAAATACTGAAAATAGTAAAAATCAAAGTACACTGAAAAGCGATTTTTTCAAAAATTGCTCATAAATAGTTTTCGTCATATTTCTACATTAAAGCAAGNTAGAGGAAAAATGACTGACATTTTTCATCGATCATATGAAACGATAGAGCAACCTCGACTCTATATAGTGTGAAAATATCAGCTCTTTATCTTTTGTCCTTATGGAGTTATTCAAAAAATGCCCACGGCCATTTAATTCTGAAATGGACAGTAGTTGATAAATATTAAACATCAGTATGAAATCCGTTCAGAAAATTCGATTTTCTTTGAAATTGATGATCCTTATTTAGCTATGATATTACCAGCATCAAAAGAAGAAGGAAAACGTATAAAAAAAACGTTATTGTGCGTTTAGTATGGATGGTACTATAGCTGAATTACAAGGTTTCGAAGTAAAACGTAATGGTGAATTACAATTAATAAAAATCTTTCAAGCAAGTGTTTTCGAAGCATTTCTTAAAGGAACAACACTTGAAGAGTGTTATAATCATGCTGCAACTATTGCTGCTTATTGGCTTGATATGTTATATTCACATACAAAATATATATCAGATAAAGAATTATTTGAATTAATTTCAGAACGAAGAACTATATCAAGAATGTTATCCGATTATGAAGAACAAAAGTCAACATCTATTTCCACAGCTAAAAGGTGAAATTAAACGCAAAAAAAAAATGATGATTCATACGTAATCACTGGACCTTAGATAAGCATAGACTAAAACTTAACATAGAGCAAAAAAGAAACTCTGATTCATTTATTCTGGTTGTTAAAGAATCTGAGATGATCACATCGCGTTTTGACTGATTTTCGCCCTATCACATGATCCAATGATATGCAAATAGACTCAATCTCGTGAAAATATATATGTCGTGCCGACGTTACATTGTTTGTCGAAGTTCTTTTGGATAATTAAATTAAATATCAATTATCAAGAATTCAACACGGTCATGTTAAGGCATGTAGCTCAAGTCGTCTTTTCAGTTCAACAAAAATTCATAGTTGCATTTCTTAGTCAACATGGTGAAAATTGTACAAATCTTTAAAAACAATACCCTTTAACTTTGCTAATAATGTTTCATTTTCTATTCAAAAGTATTGATGTGGATCTGATGTATGATGTGTGCGAGTTGATGAGGGTATGGGTGATGTTGAAGAGAACATCTTCACGGAGATCTACACTGACAGCCACGTTTATCAGATATGACATCAGTTCGGATCACAACTGAGCTGAACCAAAATTGGTGTGGTCAGAGCGCCCTAAGAGCCAGATAGGTTTGGTTCCAAAAAGCCTTAAGCCGGTCTCGTCTATATCTGATCTCAAAATACAGTCTTTTACTTGCTTTGCAATTTGAACTCTGTTCAGTGCAAAAATCTTAAAATGTGATGCTTTGCTTTGCTTCCAAAAACAAAAAGAAACGAACCGATCCCATATCAAGCTACTACTACGACTACACTCGCACTTACATCGGCACCCAAATTACTACACTCCCACTTTCCGTCCCACTCTCAGATCTTCGAATCTCCAGAACAAGAAATATGGGCCATGTTCTATCGTACAGCTCGGGAAAATGGTAGGAAGTTTGAAGTAGAGGAATCCGGCCCTCGTATCTTATCACAGGATTTCCGCTTCCAGGTTGCTACCTTTTCCCCGAGTTTTCTAGCAGTTTCCCGTGGAAAACCCATGTTTTCAGGAATCAACATCATTCACCTGGGTAAACAGCAGAAATCATAAGCAAAATAAAAGAGTTTTGTTCTTAAGAATTTATACACTTCGCACAATATTCATTAATAAATGTAGCTATACATTTTTGCTGAGCTGAAAAGATGACTTTAACTATATGCTTTAACAAAATTGTGTTCATTTCTCAATGATTGATATATAATTTAGCCATACAAAATAACTTCGGCGTGTCATATATGTTGGTATTTGTCGTTGGGATATAAATGTGCATATATATTATACATATATACATGCATAGCTTTTGTATTTAAGTAAAACTTCACTAAAAACCCGGAACTAGCACATGATCACTTTGTGAATATTTTTTTTCATTTCAATTATTTTCTATTTTGTACTTAATGTTAAACAATTTCTCAATCAGTTCATTAAATACGCGAAAAGAAAAATACTTCGTTCAAAACAGATGTTTCTATCATACAAGAACTGCTTCAAAACATATGATTATACGCACAACAGTTTTTTTCATCTAAAGGCAATAGCAAAATTTATAGGTTTTCGGAAATTTTCTACTTTTTTCGATAAAATATAGGAAATATAGGTCGAATCACAGCCCAGGTTAAATACAGTCTAACAGGTTTATATTATGCAAACTTCACTATATGCTTTTTGGAGGTGTGGAGAAAATATACTTTATCTTATCGTGACTAGAAGAAAATGTGTGTGTGAGTGTAAAGAGAAAAGATATATAACATGAATTGCAGCCTGTTAAGTGAGTGCAAGAAGTTTTATCTTTCTTTATGTATTTTCGTTCTCTTTCTTTCTTTCTTTCTTCTTCTTCATGATAACTATAACTGGTTTTGTTTTCTCTTTCTTTCTTATTTATCGGTTCGAATCGAGTGCACATCATTTATCATTCATTTTCAATATTCTTAAATCATGTTCGATACACCATTATATTTATTTCGTTTTGAACATATTCAAATTGAAATTCCATATGCTAATATGATGATAGATATATATAAACCATGGACTTATATTGTATCATTTGGATCATGTTTGTTATATATGTTTTTAATAATGATAATTTTTCCATCATTAACATCAACATTATCGTTAAAAGTTAAAAATTTATTTGCTAAAATGCATTATATACTCTTATTCCTATATTCTTTATTTTCATGTATTAGTACATTATATTATATAATAGAAACAAAAGAAATAATACATTGGTCAAATTATTTATGTAATCCAATACCTTCTTGGCTTCGTATTATATCAATTACTTTTACTATATCAAAAATATGGGAATGGTTTGATACAGCTGTTCTTATATCAAAAGGACAATCATTTAAAAAAATTGGATTTCTTCATATTTATCATCATGCAACGACATTTTTATTATTTTTATGTGTTATGAATTTTCCTGGTGGAGAAAAAAGTGGTATGTTATTAAATGGTTTTGTTCATACACTTATGTATTATCATTTTGCTTTTCGTTTACCAAAATTTTTACGTCCTATGATTACAACATTACAAATTATACAACTTATGACAGTTACTTATATTTGGCATATTGTACCACGTTTATGTCCAAAATATAAACATTTTCCTAATGAAAATTTCTTAGAATTTCTTCTTCCGTATGCACTCGTACCTGTTTATTCTTTGTTTTTCTTTAAGTTTTTTATTGAACAATATCTTGTTACATCGACTAAAAAAGTTAAATCTTCTTCAAAAAAAGAAGAATAAACGAAAAATTTAGCAAAATCAATCAGTTTTTATTATATTTGTTTATTCAAGTGATTTCAATATATTTTTTTGCTTATTGTGGGTTTGAAATAACGTTCTTTTTTGTGTTTTTATATATTCGTATTTTGAGATCCTAGTAAAAAAGAAGTAGTATATCAAAGATTAGTTGTTATTTCTGTTTTTTAATTATTCGACGACGTGACCAAACGTGACGGAATTTCAATTTTTTTACATTGTAACAATTATTTCTCGTCAAATGATCAAAGCGAATTCTTTAAAACGTTTATTATAGATAGAGAACATTAAGATATATTTCAAAAACTCAAATTTTTTATTTAGCGGAGTTGAGAGTTTAACATTTTACTACGAAATGAAGCGACATATTAATAAACGTTCTATATAAAAGTTGTTCAAAATATCTAGTTATTTCTTAATAAGCATAACTCCATCAAATAACAAACTGAAAATAGTGTTTGCTACAGAATTTCATCAAGAATAGAGATGCTATTTGAACACATTACCTTGGTTCGTAGATATTTAGCATTTGTATGAAGAGTCATATGTTGGAAAAGTACTTCATGTTCGATCGATTGATAACTAATTGAAAAATTATTGTTCTACTGATCACTCTTTGTTTCACAGTGTATTTCACTACGATAATTTGCGAGTTGTTCACTCTAGCAAAAGATTTTGCGTGTCCTGAGAGCTTAATGCTGCTCAGGAAAGAAACATTTTCATTCCAAACACTAATCATCGTTCTTTTTTTAATAGTAGGCTCTTCTTTTTTTCCCTTTAAATGCGAACCCTTCCCCATGTATGAGTGATCCATAACTGACCATGCCGTCTATCATTTCATATCTGAAGAAAGGTTGAACGAGTGTGAGTTTTTATACAAATATTTATCAGTTATGATATTCTGATTGTTCGTTTATGATCAAATTGTGTTATAATAGAATTGAGTTGTATAGTAAACGTAACATGACGACCATATACGATCGTCAAATATGATATTGTATTATTTTCAATATTGACCTTGAACAGATGTGAGTTGCAAGACTTCGTACAATTTTAAAGCGTCGATTTTAGTTTATCATCATTATATTCGTTGATAATTATTATAAAAACCAATAGCGAAATGATTATTATTCCTACTATCGGATCCACATTCTAAATGAATCTGATTATCCATCACTTATTGAAAAAGATAATACAGATGATCAAAAAGTCTTTGCATTGCATTCGAATGCTAATTTTGTTCTCATATAGACCAATCTAAATGATTTATCCAGATAAGTAAATCCAAAAGTATAAGAGTACGTCTTTATCTTCTTGGATTTAGGTCTATATTATTTATTCATTATAAAACCGAATCCTATTTTACTCCGAAACTTATTAGTCCGTGTACTCCTACTATATTCCAGTGCTTCTTGTACTGCTAAGAGCACGACAGTTCGTTGTTTCCTTCTTTTCCACACTCTTTTGTAGAGCTTCAAAAGGGCTATCAAACAGTATGTAATTCAAAGTGGATCGTTGTTTTCAAAGCACCATAGGAGAGGAAACTTGTCATGGGTACCTTTATACTGTATGTGCGAGCGAACAATGCCATCTAAAGAAAAAATGGAAAGAAGAATATTGTGTCATATTCCTATACGCCAATCGATAGAGGAAAGAATGAGCTTTCATTTGATATATAAGTTAATGTATCAATGCTGAAAGTGAAAGCAAAAATTTTCAAATGAACACCGCATACTACGACTTTGTAAGGGATAGATAATATTAATTTTCAAGTCAGTCATGCATTGTCAAAAATGAGGACTAATTGAATAGTTCGAACGGCAATCCACTCATGAGGTCCAAATTGGCTATTTGGAAAATATGAAACTTAAGCATGTCACTATGTTGTATAGTTCGTTCACTGGACTTCGTCGGTCTGTTGTAGACGATTTGCTGGCCAATTGTTAATACCAACTTCTTTGTTTAATTACATTGAAAAGAAAATTTTTTTATTCAATAAATGTCGCTGCCTCGTTCTCCTCGATCTCAAACAAAGTTTGATTAAATATATTCAGTAAAAAAATGTTAATGATGATACATAACTTTGTCCAGACTAACAAGCTTAACTATCTTTAAGGAAAATTTTCACTTGATGGGTGAATTGAGTAGCAGTTCAGTAACTCATGAGTTCACGTTGATAAGCACCATCTAGACTATTCGAAACTCTGCCATTTTTGTACTATCCTTTTCCACTCCCTCGTTTCTCTTCTTCATATTCGTATGCTATATAATCTAGCTTGTACATCTTGTGTTTATTCTCCTCGTGCTCGATGTATCGATGGATGAATGGAAACATTTCTCTTATAATCCTAGAGTTATAATTAACTATGTGAGAAATCAGATCTCACAAATACTTTATTGGGACCATCTAAATATGTATATTTTTTCGTATTGATAATATCAGCATTATAGAGGAAAGAAATGATTGAATTATTTATAATTACTCGATAAATATCTTCATCCAGGTATTTAGTGATGCTCTCTATTTTTTTCTCGAGACCTTGAAACAATCCTCAACACAAAAATGAAACAATCATTTGTACTTTTTTTAGGACTCAGGAGAGCAGAGCAAGTTATTCATGGTGTTGACACAACATGCAGTGCTATTCAGCGAAATAACAACGATTTCTTTTCATACCTTAACGTGGAGGAGTATAGAATATGTAAAAGAGTCTTTATATTGCCTTATTATTTTTTGTGAAGTTACACTCCTTGTAACATTTTTCTTTCTTCAACTCTACTATGCGCCGTCGATTACTCTTTACTATCGTCTTTTGCTTATTTTTTGTGACTACTTTATCGATTCAATGTTATACGGGCACTGATACCCAATGTGTATTAGCACCTAATATCCAAGATTGTGGTCCAGGAGAAGTTTGTATATGTGTGAAATATCGTTTTAAATGTACAAACGATGATCAAGCTTGTAGTCAACGAGAACAATTGACAGGAGTTACAAAATGGGCATATACAGTGGTGTCTAAAAGTGTATGTGAAGCATTGAAAAATCCAATGAGTGGTGCTTCTAGTGTGCAATGTTGCTCAACTAATCGATGCAATCGACCTGATAATGGCAAATGTTCATGGTCTCAAACTCGTCGTCGAGTTCTACGTAAATTTACTGATTTACTCGACTTCTAATGGTAAATAGTTCTAAAAGGACGAGAAACAACACAACAATCTCATTGTGATACAATTTCATTTATTTAACCCATTTTATATTTAATAAAAACAATTTCATATAATCATATATAATTTGAAGTGCTCTTACTATTCTTGATAAGTATTGCTATTATACACCACAATCGACAGAACAAAAAATAACATCATTCTTCTAACAGACTACTTCAGATATACGTTTGACATAAACTTAGATTTATCAAATAGAATTCGCATTTTAAGATGATACAATTCAACAGAGAATACAGCTTTATTTACTAAATTGTAAAAAAAAAACATAAAAAATCAATTTGGTAAAAATGTTTCTACCAAAAATGCACATAAATTCGAAACATCTATAATCATAAGTAATCACCAGGATCTTCTATTAAGAAAAAAAAATATTCCTAATATGCGTAATATTGAAATTGTCAATCAAAAGTATATCTGGTCGAAAACTACCATTAGAGCTCATCAGGCCCAGTGATTTTGGATTCGATGGACTTTAGTAGTCTGAGAACTGTGCACAGTATGCTGAACACTAAATACAAAAAAAAAAAACGGAAAAAAGTATTTCATATCTTCTGGCCGAGTATCCAATTCCGATTTGCTTTAGTGAACTGACGATTGTATTTCATAGGTCAATGTTTTACACGCGCTGACTTCTCGTCTTCATTTTATTACTGTTTACTGTTTTATTTCTGATGACACAAGAATCATACTTCTTTTTTGAATAGTTGCACGATCAATGATTTATTATTGTACGAAGTCATGTACAAACAGAATATTATTCATATCGTAAAAGTTTGACTTTTTTTTTCTTTATTCACTATGTTTCTAGTAGGTACTGTTAGTATATTAACATAAAAATCGACCACTCTACTTCATCTTGATTCGTTCCAGATTACACTACTAAGTCAGAAATTGTGGTTTACTCTCATCTTAATTGTTTCCTGCCCGCCGTTTCGTAACAGATCGTTTTTCGGCACCTTTAATAACGGTTCTATGTCATGTGTCAAGATTTGTCTAGGTAGTCCTGAGCTTCCAGTCGGCATATTCACCTCAACATTTTTGGATACTTGGAAACGTTGGTCTGGAAATTCTTGAAGGATTTCTGATTGTTACAAAATCAGAAATTCTTAGATGGTTTCCAAGCCTACGTTTTTTAGACAGCACAATCAAAGACTGAATATCACTAACATCTCATTAGAATATATAAACGACTCCTTTATTGTAGTTCTGGAGGATTAAGTAAAGAATGATGAAGAAATGTGTCCCAAAATGCATAGAATAAAACAGTTTCCACGTAACCAACACCAACAGCTATATCGTGCCTCACGTTTTAATCTCACAGGAATGTCGCTAACAGCTCTTGTTTCAGCAAACTCAATCTCAATCAATTTAAGAATAATTATTTCATGAAAAAAACATGAAATCATAAAATCGTAACGTGGATGTAAAATTCTCAAATGAATAAATTTGAGTTTAAAATCTGCTGATATTTTTGTACAATCATATACTAAAAGACTTGCAAACGATTTGACGAAAAATATATCCGACTTTTAAAAATGTAGAGAATAAAAATGTTTAAACTTAATTTTGCACAAGAGAAGACATGTATTGAATTGCATCCTACAAATGAGTTGGTTGATAAAATGTTTCTCGATTGTGTTATCTCTTTTTCTTTGTGTCTGCTATTCTCTTCATCGCCGACTCAAAGTTCTTCCGAGAATGTAGAATTACTCAATTGTACAAATACAGATAAATGAAAACGAGTAAAACATTCATAAAATCTCAAAGAAAAGAATAAAGAGATAATCTAGCCATGAAGTCTTCTATCAACTAACTTTTTTTATACTGTTGGACGATTGTATTGAATACCCTACATTCTTCATTGAAGCAAGTCGTAATCGATCATATGCTACATTAAAATACAGCATTTAATCCATTCTTATAACCAACATTCACTTGAGATCAATGAGATTCGATACGAAAAGATTGAAGGAGGAGGTTAAAGGACTTCTGCCCAGGGATGTAAACCCTTTTTTTTCTGTTTTGCTTGAAAGAGTAAAAGTCAACATGAATAAGTGAATAAAATAATTTTGTCAACGGTATAAATAGTTTGAACGAAATTTCAAATTGAAATATGATCTATCGAGTTGTGTACATATAATAGAAGCAATTCAAAATATTTTTTAAAGTAATACTTCTAGTGTTTCTTTAAACATTTCTATTAGAAGGTAATAGCGAAAATAATAGCTCAGGATGTAGAATACGTTCTCGACACGATGATTTTGTTCTAATGAAAACAAAATATGTGACATGCTACAAAAGATAAGTCCAACTGCTGCAATACAAACAACTAATCTCAAAAACTAAATTCTTATAAGATTTCGCAAATTACATTCCAATGGCAAAATTTGCTCTTATTGCTTTATCTACAATTTTTCCTATAATGTTTGTCTGATATGATTTTCTTTAAGGTTCGTTTCACCGATAAACTTTATACTCGATTGGTACATAAGTTATACTGACATCTGGTATTCTAAAATCTAATCGGGTGAACTCTTTTTCTTTTTACTCAGGTAAGCATTTAACTTGTTCTAGTACGTAAAATATATTTTTTAATTAATGTACGAGGAAATTTGATTGAAAATGTTTGCCAAAGACCATAAAAATTTTAGAGTAAAAAGGATCGAAAAACGCTTACGCAACATTTTCGGAACTTAGAAAAGATTTCATCTACTTAGCTCGATTATACTTTTATTCGTCAAATTCGAATTTTTACAATATAGGGATAGAGCACTGTTGCTGTACAAAGAAAACCAAGAAATTCTCAACATGTTTTATAACTGTCAAAACAAAATCTTTTATAATATTCTCTGGTTTGCACTAGACACGATAATCTTTCTAATAAAAAATAAAGTCTCTACGACATTTCATCATAGCTCAATATTAAAAACTAAATTGATGTAAAATTTTTGTTCCATCCGTTATTATAAAGTTCAAGAGTTCTTTAGATCATAGCATACTATTCTAAGCGTTTTTTTTCGTTAGTTTACAGACCTTAGTGTTGTCAGAATAGGTATATAGTCATATAAAGTAATAACAAAAACCAATGTTTATTCTTAAAAGAAAAACAATTAAAATGTTTTTTTTTCCAAGATCAAAAATGAATTACAATTTGACACATCATTTTTAGTATCATCAATTTATTGATATTGATTTAGTAAGTAGCCCCAGTGAAATTACTTCGATAATTTTTTTTTATCGACGTCGGAAGCTCGATACGACATGTACATAGTGACGTTTTCTGTTTGTGTCGAAACCTTGAAACAACCCTTAACCATATATCAATACGAAAAAAAAAAATCATTCATATTTTTTGTAGGAATTAGTGGAGCAGAACAAGTTACATATGGTGTTGACACAACATGCAGTGCTATGTAGCGAAATGAGAACTACTCCTTTTCATACCTTAAGGTATAGAAGTATAGAATACATAAAAGAGCCATCATATTACCTTTTTTTTTTTTTGAGAACCTATATTCTCTTTAACATTTGTCATTCTTCAACTCTCTACTATGCATCGTCGATTACTCTTTACTGTCGTCTTTTGCTTGCTGTTTGAGACTACCTTATCAATCGAATGCTATACAGGAACAGATTCTAAATGCAGGTTATCACCTGATATGAACCGTTGCGGATTAGGAGAAGCTTGTAGTTGTGCGAAATATCGTTCTAAATGTGCAAAAGATGATCAAGCTTGTAGTCAAAGGGAACAATCAACAGGAGCTACAATATGGATGTATTCAGTGGTTTCTAAAAGCGTATGTAACAGATTAGATAATATACTAATTGGTATTTCTAATGTACAATGTTGCTCAACAAATCGATGCAATCGACCTGATAATGGCAGATGCTCATGGTCCCAAGCTCGTCGTCGAGTTCTACGTAAATTTACTGATTTACTCGACTTTTAATGGTCAATAGTTCTAAAAAGACGAGAAACAAAATTATCTTCAATTATAATGTAATTTCATTTATTTAACCCATTTTATATTAAATAAAAACAATCTTATATAATCATATATGATTTGAATGGCTCTTACTATTTTTGATAAATATTGCTGTTATACGTTATAACCGACAGAACAAAGAAAAAAGAGTATTCTTTTAATTGACTACTTCAGATGGTGTCCTATGAAAAAGAGTTATTATTAATAGACGTTACGTTATATTGTCAATCAAAAACATACATAGTCGAGAACCATCATTAGAGCTTACCGGGTTCGAAGATTTTAGATCCGATGGACTCTAGTAGCTCGAGAACTGTGTAGGGTACGCTAGACACGGAATATAAAAAAACGCAAAAAAAAATTCTCATATCATCTGGTGCTATTATCCAATTTCAATTTTAAAATTTCATTGAGAGTATCAAAATACAGTTTGATCGGGTTCGAAAATGTTGCACCTAACAGGCTATAATTACCATTATTTTCATGTTCATATGATGGATGAGAAGAGAAATCATCTGTCATAAGGATTAGAGTTTCTTGCATTTTTTTCCGATGGCGTTATGGTAAATCATTATTGTTGATGATCATTGTCATTCATGGGCGGTGGAAAAGTTGCATTCAGATGAACTGTACCATTACCAAATGGTGAGCCTTGATCATGATCTCCATTTGAATGCATATGAACCGATAAAACATCAAGCATAAAAAGAAGAATAATATTGAAGTGTTTAGATATTGAGTACATTTACGCAAGAAAGAATGGTAATCGATTGCATCTTGATATTAATTGCACACTTCAGAACTAAATACTTTTTTTCTGAGTGTGCTGAGATTCGTGTTCTATGGATCAATGTTCTACACTCTCGCTGACTTTTCGCCTTCATTTTATCACTATGTAGTATAGGTAATGGGGCTGCAGGCTCTGAGTAGACTAATCCCAGAACCGGTAAAGGCTTGGATAAGCGCTAGTCTTGCTAATAGTGGACACATCATTATAAATGAAGAAAAACTGTAGAAAAGCTTGAGTCAGATTAATTAGAACCTGTCAATACATGTCTATTAAGCATCTTCAACAATGAAGAAGCTCACAATGCAACATCTGTTTTATGTAGAACAGTTCTGCTTCACTTTCGAGCTTTTCTCCGGTAAAGCAGATCAGAATCTCTTCTTTCGAAGGCCGCATTTCAATGGCCAAAAATGTTCACATGTTTCTTCAAATATATGTTTTTTACGTAAGTTGTGAAGCTTTTTTCTGGTTTTCACTACTATTATACATTGCAAAATATGAGTTCGATAGAAGAGACATTAGCTGTATTTCATCTAAGTGTTATCCAAAAACTCGTGTTCTCTCACGTTTAACTTCCAGATGAGAATCCTATAAAAAATGTTGAGTCAACTCTTGAATCTGATAGACAGCCGAAATTAATATCTGTGGACAAATAAAAATATCTTTAATTCTATTAAGAAATGAAAGTCTTATCACTTTTTGAAGTCTTTCAAGCGATTCTTAGTTGTTTCAAATGTGAAGCTTGAACGAAACCATTAAAGATTTTCATAGGAGAACAACAACAATAATGATCAGGATTGTTTTAGTTTATAATTTATTCTCATCAAGACAACATGTAAAATGAATACCCTTGATTTACGAAAATATTCAAATAGAAATACAATAGATTTCAAACAAAATTAAGAACGATTAACAAGGAGTTAAAAGCAAAACAAGAAAAAATACATGAGCCATGAAAAACCACATTATTTGACAGTACTGCTTAAAAATATAAGACCAACACTTTTTTTCAACGATACCAAGCATTTATCTAAACTTCAAATCATGATTTGAATAGCCAATGAAATTCTCTATCAAAAACATTTCATACCGAAATTTCTATGGAAGAACTATGAGTGGAAGATTTCTGAAAAACCCAACATGGAGAGTTTTTAGATCCTAGAAGACTGCGTGAAAAATTCTTTTTTACAGAATACTATCTTAAAGAGTATAAAGTCTTGAATAAAAATGAATGGTCAGTGTGTTTCCTATTCTTTCTTCAAAAGTTATATGCATAAAAAAGAACTGTTATGATGAATTTTGCATTGTAATACTTATAACTTTTTAAGAGTAGGCCGTAGGGAATACAGCAAACAAAATATTTCATTCTGTAAGATGATACTTGTAAAAACTAATTCTCACAGTCTTCTTGAAATTGAAAACTTCCCATGCTGAGTTCTTCAGAAACTTTCCTCTCATCGTTCATCTATAAAATTTTAATATTTAATGTATTTGATAGAGACCTTCATTTCTTATTCAAAATCATTACTTGGATTTGCATTAAACGCTTAATATCGCAGAAAAAAAAAGTCAAAAAGAAAAAAACGTCGGTCTTATATTTTTCGATCAATACTGTATATACAATCAATATGAGTTGCAATTCATACAAATTTTCGAATTAACAAACACTATTCAAACATGTACATTCTTTAAAAAATTCCAGTGATTGTCTATAAGTAAAACCACTTGCACATGCCATGCGAAAATATCGGCGTTTAGCTTCAATCGGTTTACAACATGATGATAATGTTCCATTGCTAAATGCAGATGAACATGTACCAAAACATTTTGTCATACGTAAACGTCGAGCACTCCTACATTTAGTTAGTGGATCAATATAATATCCTGTTTGAATATTCAAACTACATGAATTCATCAATGATGATGCTATTGATGATGTTATTACTAAAATAAATAAAAAGATATTCATCTTCTATTGTATAAAAGAAAAATCATAGATTACCTTCGTTACATGTTTGTCCACTAAATCCATTAAAACATTCACATTTGTAAGTTAAACCATCAAATTGACATTGACCATGTTGACAAGTTGTTGTTGTACATGATGATGGATTTAGTTCATTTATTTCACAACCGGGTAAGATTTTATGACGATAATTAACATTAGCGAAATTGATTGGTTCATTATTTATATAAAGTGCATGAATACAACCTTAAACAATCGTTGTAGTGATAAGTTTTATCTTATATTAAATACTATGCTCCTTCTAAGATCGATTTGTCCCGAATAAAATATTCAATGAGATTAGTTTATTGTGAAAGTATAAACTTCTCTAATATTTCCCATCCTTAGATAAAAAATGAAGTTTTTGTTTTCATAAAATAGAATTTTAATTAAAAAAGTCGATCTCAAAGATCACAGCATTTATAATCATAACTTAAGAAGAAAGATCGAGATATTTTCGCGAGCATTGAAAGAATCCTTTTATAATAAAAATAGAACGTCTACATATATCTTATATAAGTATTTTCGGATGTAAAAAGGTCTGGAAAATGATTATGGTTATACGTAGCCATCACTAGATCGCTTGCTACAACGAATAAAGTCATGCAAAAATCGAATCTTTTTATGAAATTTGTACAACTTTGTCCCAAAAATAACTCTGGACAAGTCAATAGCAATTGTTTGTCTCGGATCACCTGTTCGATAGCACATTGCATATAAAAGGTGATATTGCTCCTTGTGGTTAAGATATAGTAAGTCAATGTATATGAGGAGCTTTGCGTCAGACCGACCTTCTGTGCAAAGCTGCAGCTAATAATAGATATATGGAGTATATCGAGTTAATAAAACTACCTTCGGGCAAAACATCCTATACTACACGGCAGTCGAAAAATGAAGTATTCTTCCTTCTTTCCATTGATGCACTGTAGTAAATTTTGACGAGATTAATGTTTAAGAAAGGGTTTTCAAAAGTTATGTGTGTGAAATGTTTTAGTGACCGTAACTAAAAAATTGTAATCACATAAATCTCTATTCTTAATCTATATTACCTTGAAATGATGTTGCTTCACGAATATGCCATAATTGAAGAGCTCTACCAGTTAACTCATTTGGCAAACCACTAATATACAATGCATGTATTTCACTTGTATTCATATAAACACGACTACCATGGTTATTAATAAATCTTCTATAATCTCTATCAATAATTAATGTTAAATTCTGATCGATACTAATTAATTGTAATTCATGAATTTTTCCTAAAAATAAATTTTTTTTGAATTTTAATTCGAATTATTAAGCTTTTTTTTTCTTCTCACCATCATTTACTGTATCGTAACTAAACATAACTGAACCAGGTGAATTTCCAATATCATAACTAATACGTATTCGTCCCATAAATAATTCTGCAACAATATGTCCTAAATATCCAAAATAAACAAGTATACCATTGCTTTGTATTGTACTAAAAATAATTGTAATATTTAAAAGTGGATAAATATTTGGTTTAGATAGTTTTATATAAGAATTATTTGTAGTTGAATGAATATTTTTTAATATCATACAACGATCACCGATGAAACCCGAAAAACAACGACATCGAATAATATTTAATGAATCTTCATAACAAACACCATTATTTGAACAAATTTCAGGTGTACATCGTTTTGATAAAGTTTTATTTTGATTATTCTTAAATATTGGTGAATGATGTTGAGATTTTATTTCACAATATTTTCCAGTAAAACCAATATTACATTTACATGTATAACCTTTCATATTATTAATACATATACCATATTGACATGTATGATTAGAACAATAATTGATATTATCTGTACAATTTATTCCTTCGAAACCCAATGGACATTCACATCTGAAGTTTTCAAATCAAAGAATAAGTAGAAAAAAAAATAATAAAAACACTTACTTATATCTATTATCGATTCTTAAACAATATCCATTATTTTTGCATGGATTTAAATTCTTATCACACCAATTTAATTTTTTTTCACAATATTTTCCTATAAACAAAATTCAAGTGAAGATTTCCTATGCAAAGTTTGTCAGCAAAATGTGGAACTCACATATAATCTTTAGCTTTATAATACGAATGCAAATTACATGAAATGAAAGATCTATAACAGACTATACTTGCCTTCGAAGGAGAATCGATCAACAGGGAAACGATCCATCTTATTTATTTGTTCTTTGTTTACTGGCGCTCGATTTTTGGTTTATCATCTTGCTATTCGCTCGTTATTTTTCATTTTCGTATTACGTTTTCTCTTAACCGGGTGTGGAGATGTGAAGACTTTAAACCAATGCTTACACCCTCTTTGGCTCAAATCCTAATTATGCCCTAGGTAAATCTAATCTGATTCCGGCGATTTTAGCTTTTCCAGCATCAGTCTAAAGAAAACTATTCCAGAATTAGTTCGTATTACATTGCAAGAAATTTAGTACAAGTTATGACAAATTTTATTTCTTTTAATCTCACTTCTGGTCTGGTCTTGGCAAACCTCTAAGTTTTAGTCACGCACATTTCTAACTAGTACCCATCATCCGATTGCTATGGAAATGTATTCCATGATTTTGGACTTCGACTACTATGAAAGTGGATAGGAGCGGCAAAATCTCGATTCGAAAACTACATGTAAATTTCACAAAACTATTTTATTTACCAGTAAATAATGGTGAACATAAGCATGAGTAATCATTAATTTTATCAAGACATGTTCCATTATTTTGACAATGATGTGAAATACAATCATTTATATTTATCTCACATTGAGAACCTGTAAAACCTGATAAACAATGACATTGAAAACGACCATCAGCAAGTTTATGACATGTTCCTTGTTGTTTACATGGATTATGAAAACAAGCATCATTTATTTTTTCACAATGTTCACCATGATATGATGGTAAACAATCGCAGATATATTTTCCACTTGATAATAAACGACATATACCATGGTTAGAACAAAGATCGGTACGATTTAAACATGGATTACATTTTTGTTGATAATTATTTGATTCTGTTTTATCTAATAAAATGAGCTATTTTTTCAAAAGAGAAGAAAAAGAAAAACATACGTACTGTAACATTGAAACAAAGATATCGGAGATGTAAGGAGAAGTTTGCTTGCCATTTGAGATGGAGCAGCACATCGAGCAATACCTAATTAATAAAAAAGAAATAATATGGAAATATATTCACATAGGAATTTTTTTTAGAACAATGTTATTATCCTATTTTACTTGTAACTATTCAATATAAGCGAGCAATGATCTGAAGCTTTTTTCTCAATCGATCAGTTTTGAGCTCGTCATTTGGATATATAGAGAGAATTCAAAGATTAGAAGTATCTCAAAAGGAAGATGGATTGATGCTTTTTATTGTGTTTCTAAGAATATCTTGAAAGTTTTAGTGGAACCAGCCATTTCGATTGAGACTATAGACTATTCGTAGAATCATGAGATATTCTTATAGACAAAATTTCAGATCAAGAACCTTATATTCAAAATTCCGACCAATAACCCAGATCTATGGTAAAAATCCAATAGAACTGTCATAATTCTGTCAAGAAGGCCTATACGTTCGGTCCTTTTAGAGACTCTTCGAACCTTCAAATTCTCTCTATATGTCCAAAATATAAACTTTGAAGAGATGAATCTGTATATTACCATCTAAGTAATTGTATAGAAAATAATGAAATGTGTCAATAAGCTCTCATATTTTATGCTATAGAATTTTGCAACATTAGGTTCCTGCGATAAAACATCCGATTACAAGAATAAAAACAAGCATTACTATTAGATACTTGTCTACTCATTTAATTTACAACAATTAGAATCTCTTTGACTGATTTCGAAGTTCTCGGATCAATGTACATAGTCCTCTTACGATAAAAAAATATTCCGCCTCATCTCTCTAACTTTATCAAATAGATACATTTCTTTCTAGAAATTTAAACATTTGATAGAGAAATTATATTACAAAAAGTGGCTGAATGTCAGATTAGTTTCTTACCAGGTTCAACATAATCTGCTTTAATCCATGATGATAACCAAGCAAGATGACAATCACAATAAAATGGATTACTACCGAGTGCACTAAAAACAAATCTATAAGTTCTTATTTGATTATAGTCAAATTTTTCTTCGTACATATGTGATAAAATTGGTAAATCATTAAATGTTCCTTCTGATATCGTTGAAATTTCATTTCCATGAATTGATCTAAAATATAAATATTCTGTTTTTTTTTTCTGAAAAAAGTTTTTTTTTTTTAATAAAAATGACATACAAAATTCTCAAATTTTTTAATCCTTTAAATGCATTTGAATCCAAACATTGAATTTTATTATAGGATAATATTAATGTTTCAAGTCGTGTTAAATTTGAAAATAAATTTCCTGGTATAAAACGTAATTTATTATAACTTAAATCAATTCTTACAAGATTAATAAGACGATTAATTAATTCAAATGATATTTCTTCTATATTATTTGAATCAAAATAAAGTTCTTCAGTATCTATTGATATTTCTTCATATGGAATACGAATTAATTGAGCATGGGAACATCGTACAATACGATTATAACATGTACAATTTTGTGGACAAGAATTTGAATAAGATGTATCACATAGATCAATTTCAATAGCTAAAACAAAACGAGAAGAAAAATTTTTTCTTCACAATTCCTGAAACATAAACATGTAAAACAGAACAAAATTCATTTCAAAAATCAGCACAACATTTCTTGAATTCAACTCAATAGAAATGTGGTAGAATGATTTGTAAGGAAAACAATTTTACGTAATAAAAATACTTACGATTACATACGAAATCTTCATCAGTAACATTGATAATCTTAATGAAAAAGATTAATTGAACATTTTTTTTTTTATATGATAATATTTACCGGAATATTACGTAATTTTGTTGGTAACATACATCTTAAAATAGAAATAAAATTAAACAAGAGAAATTATTAAATAATTGAAATTTTTACTCAGGATGACCAGAAATGATTTTACTTTGTTTTAACCATTTCATATGACAATTACATATTAATGGATTGGATTGAACATTCCTAAAATAGAAAATAAAATTTAGAACAAATAAGAAGACAAAAAAAGAAAAGAATTTTTAATCTTTACAGATCAGATAAAAATCGAAGTTGATCAAATGATGACGATGCTATATATTTAATATTATTATCATTTAATGATAATAATTCAAGTTTATTCATATTCATAAAAGTATCATTTTTTATACATGTTAATTTATTTGTATCTAAATTTAATATTTGAACATTTTTTAAACCATTAAATGTCTGTGATGTTATTGTATGAAGACTATTGTTATTTAAAAATCTATTTTAAAACAAAAACAAAAATTTTCAATAAGAAATTTTGTGACTCAAAAAGAATTTTCTTTTTTTCTTTTTTTGTTTACAATTGATTAAGTGAATCAAATCCATCAAATATATCATCATCAATTTCTTCTATTTGATTATTTCGTAAATCACTATTTAATATAAGAAAAATAATTAAAATTTAATCAATATTCTTCAAATACATACAGTATACGAAGATTTTTTAATCGTTGTAAATTACCATCACGTGATATTCGTTTGATTAAATTATCTTGAAGATCACTAAAATAGATAGACTAATTAGATATTCTAATTACTTATAAGATATTTATATAGTAATTAATCCATTTTATAGAAACGTAGAGAGGTGTCACATATCCAGGAAATCGGAGATGCTGGAGAAGTGTAGGGAAATGCGGGAACCTGTGAGATATGATTGTGTGTGTTTCCTCCCTTATCGTCGCTAGAGAGATATGCGTAGAGACGCCGTATCTCCCGCACTTCCCCACAGAGAGATACGGGATCTCCAACATCGGCATCTCCAAATGAAAATTTGTTATTGATTTTTAGCCTAGGACCCAGACAGCAGGTGCCGCATCTCCCTACACTTCTCCAGTATTCTCGATTTCCGAGATATGTGACACTGCTGGAAAAGTATTCAATTTAGAATGTCCATATATTAGGATAATTCACAGTGTGATTTGATATCGGTATATCACCGATGATTAATCGTGAACTCAACTGCATATATGATAGGCACGTAGATATTTGAAAATACTATTCAAATGATATTCAGACAGTTGAATAATAAAAACTACCTTTATAAAGAATATGTTAATAGTTTAGTACATCTCGATAATTTTTAGAAATGGAGAAGGCAAAAAACTTGACGCATCGTTGGAGATAATCTGTCTGGCAGAAGATGAATGAGGAAAACTACCTTCTTAAAATTGCCAAACAGTTTTCCGACAATATCTTGAAACTCTCATAAACACGATGTGGAAAGTGGAAAGGAAAGACTAACCTACTTCCATGCCTCCTACATTCAGATCTACGACTTTTTCTCAAACTTTAAACAGAAACCTGACACTCTACAGATCTCTGGAAAATAAATATTAAAAATTTGTTAATTTTGCCAAATCTTACGAAAAATACAAATTGTTTTATAAAATTTTCCTAGAACAATGTCAAAGTACTTGACCAGCATATTCGAAATTCTTTCCAATCATAGCATGTACTCTAATAGAACTCTTCAATAATGACATTACTCACAGTGTAGTAGTAAATGCTGGTATGTCATTAGGAATTTCCTGTAATTGTAATCCCCGACATACTACTGTTGTTCTATCGCATGTACATCCTTTAGAACATTCTATTTCACATTGAGCAGTATTTAATGTTTGTAAATATTTCAGTCGATCTAATTAAAATAACAAAAAAAAAAAAAAAATTTCTTTATCAAATATTTATGAATACTATTCTTTTTTTATACTTTGACATCGAAATTTTTGATCTTTTAAAATTCCAAATTTTTGTTTTGCCATACGTCGTGGTCCAGCACAACGAACACCACTTGTTTCAATTTGTTTTTCACGTAAATATAAATTTAACCATCGAAGATGACAATCACATATAAATGGATTACGAGCTAAATGTCTTTTAAAAAAAAAGAAAAAAAGAAACATGTCTTAAATTATCAAATAATAAAATAAAAACAATATTTACAATGTTTGAATATTTTTTAATGAATTAAATGTTCCATTGATTAAAGTTTTTAATTGATTATCATATAATGATAATAAACTTAATTTTTCTAATCCACGAAATGTATCAGCACGTATACAAACTATTTTATTTGCATTTAATAATCTATATGAATTAAATTGAATATATTGTTTAAAATTTATAATAATAAAAGAACAACAAAAACGATAAAGTTCAAATAACATGCAATTAAACACTATGCTTACTCACAAGAGTTGTAAATGTATGAATTCATGATTAAATACATCGAATGGTAAATGCACAAGCAAATTGTTTGAAAGTATGCTATAGTCATAAGCAATAAATAAGAATAAACTGATTCATGCAAGTGATTATATAAAAGTTTAAAAAACAAAAAAAACGGAAACTTTTTTTTTTTCTTTATAAAAGTATCATTCTCATGCTTTATACTTCTTCAATCAACATTCGCATTGCAAGCATGTAAATATGTACCGATGAATATTAAACATGCCTTATTCTCATTATTTCCTATTTTTTGTCTGACACTCACAAAAGTTGTAGAGAATTCAATTCATTGAATACTCCCGATGGTAACATTTTGAGATTATTTCGATAAAGAATACTAATTATTTATATATTTATATTCATTATTAAAAACAATATATAATTACTTACAGTGAATTGAGTGATTTAAGACCAGTAAATGAATCTGGATAAATTGTTGAAATAAAATTATTACTTAAATCTCTGAAATTTCAAAAATTTATTTAAAACAAAAAGAAACAAAATTATAACATACAAACGACGAAGTTTTTTCAAATGTATAAATACTTTTGGTGGTATTTCTATAATTCGATTTTTTTCCAAACGTCTAAAATAAATTCATATCATAGTAAAAAAAAGAAAAAAAATTTGTATTTAAACATTACAATTCAATTGTTGTATCAGGAATATTTTTCGGAATTTCTATAAGATCTTTATCTTTACAATCAACAACACCATTAAAACATGTACATGGATATGGACATACAAATACATTACATGTATATTCAATATCATCAGTATCTATTCAGAAAAATAAAACGAAAATAAAAATCTATTCTATTATTTAAAATCTTTTTTCTTTTTATCAAATTTTACCCATACGATTACATTGTTTTGTATCATCAAGTAACGATATTATATCTTTAAAATTCAATGTATTAGTATCTTGACATTGAGTATTAAGACCAAGAAATGGATAAAATTTAAGATATTTTGCAAGCCAAAGTAAACGACAATCACATATAAAATGATTATCATGTAATCGTCTTTAAGAAATAAAATAATATTTAATAATTCAATAATAAATAAATTCGATATAACTTTATATTAATATATCTATTAAATATATACTTACAAAACTCTTAAGTCAATTAATTGTGCAAATGGCAACATAGGTAAAGTAGTTAAATTATTAGAATTCAATGTACTAGAAAAATAAAACAAAAAACTTATCCATGATAATAAGTGAAAATTAATCAATACATTATTACTCACATAATCTCTAATCTTTTAAGTCCATTGATAGCGTCTGGATCAATACATGAAATTTCATTATGATCGAATTGTCTAAATAATATTTTTTTTTATTTAATTAATTAAGATTAAATTAACTTTATATACACATACAAATTATTAATTTCTTGTAGACTTTGTAACATGCCTTTTTTAATAACTCGTAAACGATTAAAACTGAGATCTCTGAAAAATAAAATAAAATTTCTCTTTATTTTATTTTTTAAATACAATTGTACAAACAACATACAATCGTTGAAGTTGTTTAAGTGTGATAAATGTACCATCTGCAAAATGATTTAGTTGATTGCCATTAAGACGTCTACAAAAACAAGACCATATTGTCTCTCATTTATCAAATATACATTTCATATATCTATCGTTATCATCATCTCATTTTCACATCTTAGTCAGTCATTTATGTTACATAAATACACTCGATTATATTGACCGTCTATCATCATAAGACGATTGCAATTAAAGAACAGCAAAAAAACAAAAAAAGGTAAAATTNTCTAAAATGAAACATCTGATGCGTCGAGACGCGTTTTACCCGACGTTTTGCCAAAAACGCATCGAGATGCATCAGGTGTTTCATTTTAGATGCGTCCGAATGCGTCTCCCAAGAAACGCGATTCGATTTTGACCGCGTCTGTACGCGTTTAAAACGCGTTTCTGGCGTTTATACGAAAAAGTGCGTCCAGATACACATATTTTTTTGCAATTAACGCGTTTTAAGCGCGTTAGACACGCGTTTTTGCATACGTTTCCGGACGCGTTTGGAGGAAAAATATTTTCACATGGGTTGTACTAAGATAAATGGAACGGTTGACCCAGCATAAGATTCATTTTATTTTTATTTCAATAAATAAATATCTGAATGATTTAATTGATGATATTGTTCGTAGTACTGGTCTTGGTCGTGATCATAATGATTAACAAGACAAAAACAACAAATCGAAGAGCTTGATAGCGATTTTTACTAAAGTCGAAAATTTATTCGAGTGTTTATTCATTGATTAAAATTTGGTATGCATCAAAAAAAATAGTTATATATACATATAAGACCTCATTTATATATTTGAATATTAATTAAACGTGTCGCAAATGTTTCTGTTTCATTGTTAAAATTATTGATCAATTTCTAGATATCTCATTCGAACCAAAAAAAAATACAATTTGAATTGCAAAATAAATAATTCTGAAAAAAGAATGTTTAATGTTGATAGATGATTAAAAAATGAAATGTTTCGAGTTTGTTTCAAAAACATGAATTTATCTCCAATTTAGATTACAGCAATGATTTTTCCAACGTTATCAAGAAGAAATTTATATGTCCTTCGTAGATTTGTTGAGTACTTCTCGATCTAGAAGTCATGATCTACTGAATGTATTATCAAATATTTATCTCTATTAAAGAGCACAATTAATGATTGATTCAAACTAGGATATGCACTGAGTATTTACGTTCATTGCGAAAGAGAATCATTAATCGACATTTTTGAGTCTTTTTTTCAGATAAGAGAAAGAAGAATTTTGATATCAATCTAGACTAACAAGTATCTGAAAACAATTATAAGATATTTAAAGTTTCTTGAAATTGAGACAAACTTCTACACATTTTTCTTCTGAAATAATCTTGTCTGACATTCAAAATAAATGTTACGTGGCATCTACACATACATGTAAATATAAACGTCTGTACATTATTTATTCATTTATGAATGACAATAGTTAGTACTTATAACGTTTCATTTCATGGACAAGGCCTATGTATGCTATTCATATGATATGTCGAATTATAATTAATTTTAGTGTTTCTAACGAAATTGTATACAAATATACGAGACATTCACGACAGATCAATTATTATTTATTCCATGCAGTGAATAGGAAGTAGACAAATTATTTTAAAAAAATATACATTTTTAATGCAAAAGAAGAAATATTTTTGTCATTTCTTTCTTTCTTTTTTCTTCGTCATGTGCCTATCAACTTTATGACGTGACTATGGCGTAGTTTTTTTTTCTACTACGATTGTGAAAAGTTTCAAGTACCCCTGCAGTTGAATGAAATAGAATTTAGTTTGGTTGTATACGCTTCTTGTTCTTTATTGCGTATTTTGTTTAAAAATCGAAATAAAGTAGAGAAGCAATGAAAGAAAATAACCCTAGTCACATTTAGCAGACATGGGCTAGTCATCAGAAGGCTATAGGGACAATCGCCACAACTATAAAATTATTAGTGACATACACAAGATTGAAAAAATATTTTTCTTTAGTAATAATAAGATATTACAATCTATTGCCACATCTCAATATAAAACGCTGACTTGCCTATGGTAGCAGAAATTAAGTCTAAATCATAAAAAGTAAACAAGAATTTCACTACAACAAGAATCTTTTCTCTGCAAGACAACTGTTGCTTCATCAACCAATATTTAGTATACATGATTCTTGGCAGAAAGCCAAGATGGGTGTGGCATGTCTCTGCCTACATACTTCTGAATCATACTACTTCAATTGAGATCATGTGGAATGAAAGAAAAATAACTATAGAAACATGTTTTGCGTTTAAAAGCAGGCAAACTCTGTCTTTGAAAATATTGAAGTACACAAGAAAATCATTATGCAACTGTGAATAAAACCTTGAACAAAGTACATTTTTCTTATGTTCTGTGAAAGCATGAATAAGCTATACTGTTTATTTAGGTCAATAACTGGCGATTGCATTAATAGTTATAGAATAAGAGAAAAAGAAATGCAGTATAAATATCTTTGAAATTTACGAGAAAGGGCATTAGGAGTGTTTCGTGAGCCATTCAAAATAATTGATTATTGATAACAAAAATGAAAGCGTCCGGATCGAAAACAAAAGATACAATCACGGAATTTGGCGTTGGTGTTGAATCAGAATGTGGCAAATTAGATATTGTACTGATGCATCGACCAGGTCGAGAACTTCTTCGACTGAACAAAGACAATCTTCATGATCTTCTTTATGATGCTGTTCCTGATATCAATGAAACACACTATTCTCATGATTCATTTTCTCAATATTTACGTGATCATGGAACACACGTACTTTATCTAGCAGATCTTTTACATGAAACACTTACATTTAGTGATAAAGCACGTGATACATTAATTAAAGGTATTGTTGCTCATTCATATTTCAATGATAGAAATCAACAAACAGCTACAATGGCTCTTCAACAATGGTTAATTGAACGTACATCTGAACAATTGACTGAAGATGTTATTGCCGGTGTAGCTTGTTCAAAAGAGGAATTAGGTGCATCTGAACATACACAAACTCTTTTAGATGCTAACGATCCGACGAATCAATTTGTTATTCCACCATTACCCAATCTTTTGTTTATGCGTGATGGTTTTTCAATTATTGAAAAAAATGTCTTTATTTGGGAAATGGCTAAACCAGCACGACGAAATGAACCACTCCTATTACGTGTTATCTTTCAATATCATCCATATTTATCAACTTCTGGTTTAAAAATTGTCGAATGGCAAACAAAAAGTGATAATGATGAACTTCCAACAGTTGAAGGTGGCGATGTTGCTTATCTTGGTCAAGGTATTTTACTTATTGGCTGTAGTGAACGAACAAATCGAACCGGTATTGAACATCTTGCATGCACAGGTCTTTTTCGTCAAGTCATTGCTATTATTATACCTCCACGACGTACTTATATGCATTTGGATACTGTTCTTAGTTCAGTTGGTAAACATGCATTTACATTACATGGTCCATTAGCTGAAACTATGGAAGTATTTACAGTAGAAAATCAAAGTATTAATAACAATATATTTTCAAAACCAAAATGGGTTTCACATGGATGTAATGTTCGTCAAGCTCTTCAAAAAATTCTTGATGATCCTAAACTTATTTTTTATGACGCTGAAGATGAAGAAACATCTATTCATGAACAACAACAATGTCGTCATAATGTTATTGTTATTGATGATTGTCATGTGATGACTTATGCAGGTGGTGATCCAGAGAAAGGTATTATTACTCAAATGACTCGTAATAATATATGTCAAGTTGGTCAAGTTCCTTCTCAAGGTTTATCAGAAGGTGGTGGTGGTGTTCACTGTATGACCAATGGCATTCGACGACGACCTAAATAATTTTCTTTTTTTTTGTACATTTCAACAATTCACTTCATGTATACAGCTTTTATTTTTCATATTTCATCATTTTCGTATACTATGAATTGTATTTAAAATTTATTTCAATATGAATAAACATGACGACAATAAATGCCTTTTTTTCAATAGTTGTCTGCGTGAATTGCAAAAGAAAATTGAATATGAAAAAGATATGTAACTAAAGATGGACTTGCTACAAATTTTTTAATATTTAAATGAAGAGTGTGTTGATGTAGATGTGTAGGCGAATGTGGGAGGCTGTGAGTGTGATCGAAGTGGAAAACAATACGCATAGGTGCATCTAAATTTATACTCCCACTTAATGTTTATTATACAAACTGCGAACAAAAAAAAAAGAGAAAAAGCATTTTTCATCATCAGTTTTTTTTTTTTTTTGAGTTATGCTTTTTCATAAAACAATTACTGAGTGGGATGTGTGCATCAGTAGAAAGACAAAAGTATCCATTTAAAAATATTGTTACCTAGGTTAACATACATATATTGTTTGTGGATTGGTGAATGATAAACCTGGAAACGTCAGAATGGAAAATTTAAGCATGCACAAAAAATGAATAGGGTGTGAACGGGAATGAAGAAAAGACTAGGCAAGCATCGATAGCATTTAGGTCGTTTATATTCCAATGAAGATAAATGTTCTTAACTACTGAATCAAATGACACAACGTTTTTTCGTCGGTAGAAAATTCAAATAGGGACATGATACTAGATTATGTTAAAAGAGGTATTTCTGCAGCTTTGTTAGACTACGTACTAAGTAGAACCAATCAAAAAACACAAATTCAAGCAGTTCAAGTTATTTTTCAATTTCCTTTCAATCTTTTATTAAACTAAACGATTCATTGGATCATTCTTCGTTTCTTTGCCAAAAACAGACATGTTTCTGTATTAGTCATGCAATACTTTATTGATATATTTCATAATCAATGAAAGAAGTTTAAAATATTGAAATATTGT